GTATTCTCACTGACACCAACTGAAGGAGCATCGAGGCTACCTTTATCCATGAACAACTACATTGAACTGGCCATGTTACCCAGATGGAGGACAGTAGAATGCCAAAGCAGCTACTTTACAGCCACCTAATGAATAGTAAAGATAACGCTGGTGGGCAACAGAAAAGGTACAGTAATATCTCCATTAGCTGGAATATCTCAAACCCGGAACTCTCCTATAGCCGGAATTGAAATTTTCTTGGAAAATCGTTCCCAAAGCCTGAATTTTCCGGAAAATTCCGGCTTTGGAAAAGATTTTCAGAGGGGCACATTTTCCGGAAAATTCCCCCCAAAAACTCTCGGTACCCGGAAAATTCCGGGGATGGGGGAGTTTTTTCCGGGTTTGAGAGATGAAAATCATGCACATTTTCTGGAAATTCCAAGAAAATTGTTCCGTTACCCGGAAAATTACGGGGATGAGGGATATTTTTCCAGGTTCAAGAGATGATGTAATGGACCTTATTTGGTCATGCAAAGCTTATATGAATGAGCCATGTGCTTAAACAGTACACCCCCCCCTCTCCCAGGTACTGGTTATGTCATAAATCTTTGTGTTTTGCCAACTTTAAATATCAGACAGAACTGAGAAGGTAGTTTTTTCGCTCATTGTACATGGACCAATTTATTTCTTATGTACAGTACCTGATGAAGTTAATGATCTTTTTAATGATAATGATATATTGTTGTATTTTACACTTTGTTAAATTTGCTATGTTCTCTCATGACAGGACCCACACTATCGACAAAGAGACCACAGGATTCAGAAACATAGTTTTGTGATTTATTTTATTTAACGCTATTTCTTGGATGTTTGCCTTTATGTGAATATCATTGCTAAAATGGACATTCTTTTCAGGTGATCATCTGCACTGTTCTGCACCTTGTCACCACCGTCTTGAAATTATTTCTTCGGACCTCGCTCAGTATCTTGCTGTGCTCTGTCTCCAGCCTCCCCCCTGCTCTTCGCCGATGAGACCTACGCTGTCTTATCAGAACACCTAATTCAAGATGGCCTGCGATATCAATGAAAGGAATTTGTTTACAAATGATTTTGGTACCTTAGATGGAGCAACAGCGAGAACACAATGTTATCAGGAAATGTCAAAGCCTCATGCACGAATCACTGTTGAGATTTGTTGTACCGCTGCTAGTCACAGCACTCCCGTTAGTACTTGTCAATGACTATGTCCTCGTCGGTGATTGACTACAACCACTCAAAAAGTATCGTTATATTTTCCGTCGCTACAATTTAAAACGCTAGAGGCAAGACGAAATGCTTTGATACGATCCCCAGTGCATCATTATACGTTGGTACGCCTGCGCGCCATATCAACAACAGTTAGTGATGGGGGTAGGATTAGGGAAGGGAGTTGTAGGGGTACGTCCACTACAGAGTCGTCCTTGTATGACATACTAGATACTTCAATAGGACAAGACATCCAGTTAGCAGCTGTCCGTCGTGGCGTGAAGGTCTGTGATAACACCTTATAAATGCGCCATATCTGGATGCATATCAAATTACAGACTACATGATAAAAGTTTGATATTTTAATCGATTTCCAAAGGATGAAAAAAAAAAAAAAGTGGATTTTATTGTGGATACAGTAAATATATAGGGTGCAACAGAGGGAATGGCAATACTTGAGGGCCATTGGCAGGTTTAAATTTCATTCCCTAAAGTCTATCGTTTAGCGAGGAAACCAGATGTGAAGACAAGTACCTATTTGTTGCTTGAAACTGTATAACCTAGTCAGCTGTAATATATTTAGTGGCCATAATGATACATTGAAAATCTTTACACATACTTGTATTCGCTGATTTTCTGTAATAGCTTGGGGAAAGAAAGAATGATGATAATTATAATTATTAAAATTTATTCTTTTCCTTAACTATTTTATTTAATTCTTGTATTCCTTCTCCCCCCCCCCCCCAGTAAATAGCTAGCCCATATGCTTATGATTACTTAATTGTTTTTACACCGATACTGGCAGCAAAATCATAAGAGTATAAATAATAATAAAGAGAGGAAGAAGGGGATTGTTAATAATACATTTTTAATAAGGAGAATAGGAATGCCATAAAAATAATGAATACATGAGAAGTTTAAGTGGCTAACTGAAAGATAGTGTGCTAGGGGATGAGAAAATCAAGAAGTATGGAAATATATGATAATACGAGTCCTCCCTTTCTACCGTTTTCTTCCACTAAAGGCCTCCTGCACGTGGGATGGCTTGGTTTAATTAGACTTTGGTAACATAATCAGATGATCTGAAGCCTTGGAAGATTCACATCGTTCGAAAACGTATATGCTCATTCATGAGTAACGTTGCTCTGAAAACCTAGAATCACATCGACCTCATGGCTAACCATATTTTTTTGGGGGGACTGTACCTCGGAGGTGTGAAAGTTCACTGTGCTATCATGAGTGACACACCTCCCCGTTCCTGGCTGACATACCACTAGATCTCTGTATGATGTTTTACTGGAGTCCATAAGTCATTGCTAGCGAGTGGAAGTAAAGTATTGTAACATCACACTATACAATAAAACATTCGGTAGAGCAGTTAAGATTATTTGAGGAGGTGTATTGAATTTCTATAGCGTGTTTGTGTACAAATAAAATTGACATCAGTTGTATTGTTTTCTAAGACATTTTGACTTGCACATTCTATATATTTTACTGTTGCTTATTTTTTTTATAAATCTTAAATAATATTAATTATTTACCTCATTTAATAAGACAAAATGTCTTGCTTGATGACATATATTAGATATTAGATGGAAAATGTGGTGTGGCTCAAGCGAGTGAACGATATCCTTTTCAAGTTTAATCAGGTGACTTTATAGGTTACCTTGGTGCCCTTTTAAAAGTTTTGCGAATACTCTATATTTAGGGAGTATAATCCCTGCAATTTGTATAAATTAACTGTAAAACTTCCATGCTTTTTTAATGTTTTCAATTTAAATGAAGATATTATTAAATTATACTACCATACAAAATAATATGAACGGTGTAGAGTGGCATTGTTGGAACAGAGTGACACTTGACAGCTATAATATTGTCAAAGACTATATACGAAAGATAGGAAAGCAACTTTCCCTACCACTAACAAGATTGTGATCAAAACCCATGACAGCGCCATCTATTGAGATGGCCCGTCACTGTGCGGAGCAACATTTTAACGATTGCTAACGTCAATTTTTCATGAAATATGCTAAGATTTGTTAATAAAACCAATTTTATATTTTCTCCATATAATACAAATAAAATGTATAAATTAGTCATTCTCCCTGCTATGTTATCATAAGTTACTGGAAGAATTGTTACTCCCTTTAATTTTTATTCACGTTTGGAACATATTTTTGCATATTTCATGTGTGAAACATATAAATATTTTATTTCATATATTCATTTAAGTCAACTGAATGCCAACTCATTTTCTATGTTTTAGAATATAAAATATTACATTGTCTTTAAGTAACAGTCAGTATTTTGGGGGTGAAGGGTATACATAAATAGTTTTAACTTTTACTTTTATCCTCTTCACCACTGATCGGCTTGGGCGATCGGTTTATATATTTATATATTTTTTGTGGAAAATAAACCTTAAAACTATTTATGTATATCCTTCACCCCAAATATATAAATATGTAAATGTGGATCATAAAATAAAGTCTATAGACATATACGTATGCAAACATATTTATTTGCATATGCACAAAAGAACATTTCATAATTTAAAAGCCACACAGAGAGGTCACAGCTCAAGACTGAAGAAGCCGCAAGTCCAGAAAACTGTGAGGGCAAACTTTTTCAGAGTGAGGGTTGTGAACTCTTGGAACAATCTACCAGAGAGTGTTGTGACTGTGTAGTGGTCTAGGTCAACCAGCGCCGCCCACGGAGCGGGTGTCAACTATTAAGCCACGCCTACCCCAGCTATTTAAGACCTGACCTCGTGGTGACCTCTTTTTTTTCTACCCACAAGCTGTCCTCCTCTGAGCACCCTCACCAACCAGCTCTCTACATCACGCTTGTAACCACGCTGCCTTCCCAGCACCAAGCTGCATTGTACATCCAATACAACATGTATACAGAGAGCACATTGTGAGTTTCCTTTCTCCATCCCATCCTGAGTGTGGTGATCAGTGGTGAAGAGGATAAAAGTAAAATATACCATAACACTTGCTACTTTTGTTCACAAGGAGGCGGTCCTATCTTTTTGGTTTAATTGAAAGATTGAAGCTTGACTTAAAGGTTATGTGGCCAATAGATATCTCACACTCAGGACGAGGTAGGAGAGAAACTCACAATTGCGTTTTCTTTATATAATGTAAGTACAGTGCAGTGCTAGGGAGTTGCTGTGTGGTGAGGTGCTCGCGAGGGCTGAAGCGGACGGCTAGTGACTAATCAGCAGTTGTAGGAGAGCGTATTCACTACACCTTCCCTACAGTGTAATTGCCTTCGGAAAAATGATGGCTGCATAATCTGGTGTTTATGCTTATATTTTCAGGGCTTTTTGCTTTAAGTTTCTCAAGCCCCAGAACTTGTACCTATTGCAAGTACTTGTAAATTAAATTTAAAAATCAGATTCTACTTTGCCTGCAGGGAGCTTTCACATTGTTTGTCAATATAATGCCAAATAAACCTGTCATATCATATGTACGTAATTCAGAACTGTGCTCCTACCTTTCTTTATCCTTTGGGAATGAATGGTATACAAATTGGGGAGGATCTTTCTTGGTTCTGCGGCATAACATGAACGGGTGTCCTCTTGCTGCCATTTTGACAGGAAATGAATTTCGCGGTCACATAACATAAACAAACTAGCATTTACAGACGACACGAACTGCACACTACCGCCATCTATTGTTTAGGCTCAGCACTTTGTAGTACCCAATGAGCACAATATTTGGGTTCACTTTCTTATCTTCAGTATATAGTCCTTGATATTGTGTCGTCTGCTCAAGCCGCCCAGTGCCAGTGCCGGTACAGACGGGGGTTTAGTGTGCGGGTGACTGTCGCTTTGCTGTACACATTCTTTACACAATCAACAAACATGAGTGACCTAGCAATTGACACGGGCAATCCTGAACTTGACAAGAAAGCAAGGGAGTGGCTTAAATGGGATAAGGTAGTAAACTGCTCAATGTAATGTTCTTAGTTTCAGAATTGAGAGTAGTGAAGCTGTGTCTGGATATTTGTATTCTGCTTTTGTTAGTCAGTAGAAAAATTTAATAGATGCATCATTATCTCCTAGCATTTGATTTAACGGATTTTAATTTTTTGTCATGCTGTATTAAAAATTGGAATCAAGTATGTTATTTTGTGTGGGGTGAACCAATTAAAAGGATATTATAACGGGGTTTGGTTGAGTAAAAATATGAACATCCTGTGAGTGTTTTAGGTGAAGGTGTAGATAACGGCTATCACCGGAGTAAATTGGTTGAATGTTTTTTCCTATAATTATCATGATATTAAACACAAAAATTTTAACGACAATGCATAGAACCTAATAGAACCTAACCTAACATACCCATAGGTTGGATGGTAGGTCAGGTTCTTTGAATTATCGTCTTAATTTATGTGTTAAACAACTTGCCTTAATATTGACGTTGATATACAATAGGGTAAATTTGCATTAGTGCACACAACTCTGTAAGAAAGTCAAAACTATGTTTTTCTAGTGTATTTTTGTGTGTTTTGACCTACATTTCCGTCGGAAATTGCCTGGGTTTTTTTAGTTATCGGGGGTTTTGGGTGGGGCGTTTTCCGAAAAAATCAGGGCCAAGCGAATACAAAATACAAAAAAAAAAATCATAAACCGAACCTTTTTTGGATGACCTAACCTAACCAAAATAACCTAACCTAACTTAACTTTACCTAACATGACCTAACCTAACTTTACCTAACCTGACCTAACCTAACTTTACCTAACCTGACCTAACCTAACTGTCACCATGTGATGAAATTATTTATTTCTTGCCTTATTGGCCTGGTTCTGGTTCGTCGCCGGATTTACTAAAATGCCAACTATGTTTGTCTTGACGATATTTACGCTTGTTCTTACACGCGCAATTAACTCCATATAATTGAAGTGACACCCATCGCAGACTTCCATGGTTTGAAATGAAATTGAATTTCAAAATAAGACCCAATATCACTATCGAATCTGAGTGGCAAAAATTACCGCGAATTAAACCACAATTTTAATTGGCAAAAAAAAGAGCTTTTGATTAGCCGCGTGACGTGTACGGGAATGCATGCGCATGACGATTTATGAAGGGAACACGTTGAGTGGAAGGTCAAGTAGGCGATAGTGGCTGAAGATTAATGGAAAAAAATAGAGAAAGATTTGGGATCGTTATTATATGTTTGCGATGGTAATGTAATAGAAGAAAATTATCTAAAAAATATGATAATAGATTTGGGGTAGGAAAGTTGTGTGCACTAATGCGAAAATACTGTCGTTTCTTTTAATACAGCTACTCCCCGACTTACGACCTACTCAACCTACGACCTGCCTCGGTTGGTACGACCATCCGCACATACGACCGCCGCAGTCGGTGCCAGAAATTTTTTCAAATGACGAGCGTCTTTTTTAGACTGAAACGTTTCCGTCCCATACCAGAGCGTCGCTTGGCTTGGGTCGCCGCGTGGCTACAGCAACCACGCTGTAGAATGCTTAGTTGGTGTTTGGCTGTCAAATCCGCAACTGATAGCACTGTGTACTGACATTATTTTCGTATCTAATTCACTTTAGACTGACCGGAAATAATACAAGTAAGACTGCTGGTGGTGCTCAGAAGAAAAGGAGACCAATTAATTTTGAGACGAAAATGAAGATGATAATGCAGTATGAAAATGGAAAAAACTGTAGCCACCATCTCACACGGCCTAGGCTTCTCACGCTCGACCATATCTACAACAGTATTTTGAAGGACAAGGAACGTATTCGTGAGGTAGTGAAAGGATCAGCATCTATAAAGGGAACTATAATAACGAAGAAAAGACAAGGTCCTATTCATGAGATGGAAAAATTACTTGTGATATGGATGGAAGACCAGATACAAAAGTGTGTACCCTTAAGCCTTCTAACCCTACAGGCTAAGGCAAGAAGCCTTTTCAAAAGCCTGAACTAGCAGGCAGGAGATGAGTGCGAGCAAACCTTCACAGCAAGTCATGGGTGGTTTAATAGATTTAAGAACTGCTGCAGTTTACATAATGTAAAGGTGAGTGGAGAGGCAGCTAGTGCTGATGTTGGTGCTGCCGAAACTTTTAAGGAGGAGCTAGATCGTGTCATCGTGGAGGGAAATTATTTACCTGAGCAAATATTCAATGTGGATGAAACTGGATTATTATGGAAGCGCCTGCTTGAACGGACATACTGTACATTCACAAAGAGGCGAAAACAATGCCGGGATTCAAGGCATTTAAGGACCGAATTACACTTCTGTTGGGAGGGAATGTAGCTGGTTTCAAGATAAAGCCCTTCATGATCCATCATTCAGAGAACCCAAGGGCTTTTAAACATGTCAGCAAGCTCACACTGCCAGTGTTTTATCGAAGTAACAAGAAAGCATGGATGACCCTAGTACTGTTTGGGGGAGTCGAGGGCCGCTAGGGGGTTAGGTTAGGTTAAATAAGGATAAATTAAATACTGATCCCTAAGATTCCCTGGATGACCTAAACAGATCTGTATAATAATACCGAAATAGCTGTGATGTTTCAGTTATTACGTTTTAAAAGTGATTTCATTGATAGTAAATTACTGTACAGTAGGTTCACAAGTTTAGCTGAACACTTGAAAACAGAAAAGTTAATTTACGAGTAAACCGCTATCATCAGAAAACATTTATGGATTTCCTTTGCTTTTTTGTGTGGGTAATTATTGACGACTGACCCACGGTTGACTTTTCATAGAAAACGATTTAAAAATGCCACAATTTAATTTTTTTTTATAGCGGAGCCCCCCCCAGCTAGGAAGTTAGGTAAGGCTAGGTAGGTACTGTATCTTGGTTGGTTCGGTGAAGTTTTAGTGGTATTATTGCAGTTTTGTACAACCATGAAATGAGAATTTTGTCTTTGTAATCAATAATTCAGATAGTTCTTGGAGGTTTGATTAGGTCATTTGTGAGGGAAATGCTATAGGGGAAAAGTGTTTTAGAATTGTCCGAACTATTGATTGCAAAGATAAAGCCTTTGAGATTCTGTGGTTGTACAAAACTGCAAGTTACCATATTGGTTGAAAATGCAAATTTACCGTTCTTGTTAATATCGCGGTAAAGATTAGCATTTTGGTGTACTTTGTTTAAATGTGACATTCCTTTTCTTTGGAAAATCCCCATTTATGAGAAAATATCAGAGACATATAGAACAACCAACCAAAAAAACCTACCTTAACCTTACCCAACTTCTGCTGAACCCCCTGCCATATTAAACAGAAAGAACTTATTTTCATATCTGGTACCAATGAAAGCAACTTTGTTGAAGCATCATGTTGTGATTTTACTCTTTTATTGGATGTGAGAGTACGCTTTGACTGACCGGGTCTGTTGTATACATACAGACGACACGCAGCGTCTTGGCAGATTTTTTGGAGTATTATTTACAGTAAATAATTAAACTTTTGACATTACAGTATCTCCAAAATACACTGAGTTTCACTATTATGTAGTGCCAGTTTGGAACTGGGTGGTTCAAGTACTGTAATGCATTTACTTTGCAATTATTGGTGTAGAACCTGGAGACTTGTCATTAGTGGGCAATGTGGTGTGATGAGAGTGTAGTGCTGAAATTAACTCCTGCAAATTTGCTATCTGAGCACACAGTGGTTATGTGCTTAGATTACCCTCATGTATAGCTAGATAATTGTCTTACTGTTTACTGCTTTTTTAATTATTTTAATAATGGTGAAGACAGCTACCACAAGAAGCAGTTGTTCGATTTCGTTAATTTTTTCCACAGATGTTGTTTGAATGATAGTAATAAATATGATACGACAATGCCCAGAACCTGACCTGACCAACCAAACCTACGTAACCTCCTAAGTGGGACAACCCCGTCATATTTAGTGAATCCCTCTTAGCCAGAACTCTCCAATAGCTGGAATTGAAATTTTTCTGGAATTTTTTTCTCAATTTGGGGTTTGGGAACGATTTTTTGAGGTTGAAAATCAGGAGCATTTCCTGGAAAATTCCGAGAAAAATTACAGAAACACTCCCCATATCTCTCTCTTCTGGGTGTGGGAATAAATTTTCTGGGACTTCCGAGAGATTGCAACGCGATCCAACACATCCCCACGTGCCAGGCGCGTAGGTGGTGTAGCTGTTGGAATTGCTTAGTTCATATTCTGCTACCATGGTAGAAGGTTGTTCCCTTACTCTACATTACTGTACCAGAACAAAATCAGCCAAGATTACAGTGTTAAGAATAATAAAAAGTGATTACAGATGTGTATACTGTAAGTGGGAAACACTGGAGCACCTTAGCTTTTGTCTTTATCCAAGACATCTTCAGGTCATGAGACTTACTAATCCTCCACTCCAACAATGAGTGACCTGACATTGCATCAGGTCAGGTCAGTAACATGACCAACCTCCATCGCAAGTGTTAAGACGTGATTACTGTTGTGTACCGGGTATTACATTTAGCAAAGTGGACAGGGTTTGAGCATATGGTTACCTGGAAATCTCTCATCCCCAGAAGTGCTCTGTGCCGTACTGTACTTTCATATATGGTACTGATGAAAGTAACTTTCTTGAAGCGGCATTAAGTAATTTTATGTTAATCAGTTGTTGCACTGTAATATCTAATTCTTCTTTACCGTCAGTGCTCTACCGCATTTTGAACACTTACACGTCTTGCCAACTAGTCACTGTTGACAGATGAACTCTTGGAGACGGTCTTCATCCTCAGCAAGCACAGATAACCTGAGTTAAGACAAAGAACAACTCTCACAAGGTACCGTTATTACATAATTAAAACACAAGATGGTGGGTTTATCTCTTGAGTCTGTCCCCTTGAAGGAGAACAATGAGGGAGGTGGTGTAGTGAGAGGGAGGTGGTGTAGTGAGAGGGAGGTGGTGTGGTGTTGAGGGAGGTGGTGTGGTGTTGAGGGAGGTGATGTGGTGAGGGGGAGGTGGTGTAGTGAGGGGAGGTGGTGGGTGAGTGGTGTGGTGAGAGGGAGGTGAGAGGGAGGTGTGGTGGGGGGAGGTGGTGGTGATAGGTGGTGTGGTGAGAGGTGAGTGAGGGGAGGTGGTGTAGTGAGGGTGATGTGTGAGGGGGAGGGGAGGTGGGGGGGGGGAGGTGGTGTAGTGAGGGGGAGGTGATGTAGTGAGGAGATGGTGATGATGGTGAGGGAGGTGGTGTAGGGAGGGGAGGTGTGTGGTGAGGGGAGGTGGTGGGTGAGGGGAGGTGGTGTAGTGAGAGGGAGGTGGTGTGTGTGAGGGGGAGGTGGTGTGGTGGAGGGGGAGGAGGTGGTGTGAGGGGGAGGAGGAGAGGGAGGTGTGGAGAGGGAGGTGGTGTGGTGAGAGGGAGGTGGGGAGGTGTAGAGGGAGGTGGTGGTGAGAGGGAGGTGGTGTAGTGAGAGGGAGGTGGTGTAGTGAGAGGGAGGTGGTGTAGTGAGGGGGAGGTGGTGTAGTGAGGGGGAGGTGGTGTAGTGAGAGGGAGGTGGTGCAGTGAGAGGGAGGTATACAGAGGATTAAGGTTGTACAGTATTCATGTAAGTTGTGCACAGACATAAGCTCATCGAATTACTGAATACTCTCTCTCTCTTTCTCTCTCTCTGTGTGTGTTGTGCATGCCAAACATTTAATGAAATATTGTTAGGCTTCCAAGCACGTTGTAGAAGTTGAGGTGGTGCCGTGCCAAGACACTTACATAGCACACACATTAACAGCACTACTAAACCATTGTCTTATAACATTTTACTTTATGATTTATATTTTAAACTTAATTGATACATGATGGCTCGACTTGACTACTTTTGCACTTAGACAACTGATCAGTGAAAAAACCAGGACATGTGGAAATGCATTATACACTAGTGATATCATGAAGCTTCGCATCTGCAACCACAACTGCTGAGCAACTGTATAAATTATCACAACCTGTACTCAAATGTACTAAGTTAATTCCTAAAAATTTTACTTCTAAGGCCAACTATGGGATGTTTACTCAAATTAATCGCTATCTTGCAAGAATTCCAGCAATGCAAGTTATATTCTGCAAAATCAAGTCATTGACATTTTATAAGTGAAAAACTAAAACTCCCTGCCTCTTATAACCCTTGAGTATGCGTTAATCTCCTCTCCTGGCTGTCAACACCCCTCTTCCCAGCCAGCAAGGGGGGGCAGATGGCAGTAATAATGACTAATGGGATGAATTTTGTTTTAGGCTTAAAGTTTTCTCTTATAAAGTGTCACAAACTTGACTTAAGAGAATATAACTTGCATTGCTTGGATTCTTGCAAGATAGTGAGTAATTTGAGCATAAACATCTCATAGTTCGCATAAGAAATACATTTTTTAGTCCTTTCGCATAGTATTTTGAGTACGAAATGAGTACAGTTATATGTTGCTCATAATTTTGGCCCTTTTCACAGGGAAAAGTCTGTACAACTAGCCCCAGTGGTCAGAATATTATGGTATCGAATGTTATTAATATAATCTTATCCTTTTCTATTTTTAATTTATTTTTACTCTAATTTTTTCGCCCCTAGGCCCTGTTGTGGGTCGATGACCTGTTCCCGGGTGGGCCATTCCTCGTAAAAAAAAAAAAGACTTTGGGATAGAAACTGTAATAATTTGAGCTTATTAATACCAGTACCCTTCATATACAGTAAAATACATGGCTGCGTCATTTATCGCAAAGGTTACGGGCATGAAACTCGTTGCGAATATCTAAATTGCGAATAGCGGAGCAATTTCTCCCATAAGAAATAATGTAAATAAGGGGGATAAGTGCATCACGATGGTCACGACCGTCAGATTTTAACACTTGTTTTACTCAACACATTTAGAACATAAAATAAATAAAGAAACAAGGGCATAATATTAAATAAACATCAATAACAAACACTTTGAGTTTATTTGGCATATATATTTATATGTACAGTATACAGGGGTACTTTACATGTTTGAGTGTTTGAATGTTTATGTCCGTAGGTGTCAGTGGTGTTGCAGACCCGGCCATCTCCTTGATCTTGTCGGCACTTTTAACTATAGAATACACCGTAGAGGGAGCCAAGCCGTGCGCGCCCCCAATCACTGACGTTCCCTCACCGTGTTCATGTCTTTTTACGATATCCAATTTCACGTCCAACGTAACTGCCACACGTGATCTCTTAGCAACATTGCTGGGAGTTTAGTAGCTGGTCGCTTAGGCATTGCGAGATCACACAAAACACACGCCAGCACATGTGAGACTGAGGCGAGCGGGAGCGCATGGCGGAGGAATACGTACACACGCTGTCCTACGCTATGGATGAGGCGCGCGGTTCAAAATTTTTGCTCTTACGAATTTGCGAATAAACGGGGCAACTATTGCGAATAGTGGAAATGGGTAACAATAAATTGATGCTGATAAACGGGGTTATGAATACCTCCCCAACTTACGACCTACTCGATTTACGACCACCCGCACTACGACCTGCCTCAGTTGTACCAAAATTTGGTCAATTTACGTATTTTTGAGTCCCAAAGTCAGTACACAGACAAAATTTTCATCTGTAATTCACTTTAAAATGGCTGGCAAGCTTAAAAGTGAGTGTTTGTGGTGCTGAGAAGAAAAAGAGACACCCATTTTAGATTTTCTATGTATTATTTAAGCATTTCCGACTTACGACCATTTCGACTTACGACCTGGATGTTGGTCCCTAACCCCGTCGTAAGTCGGGGAGGAGCTGTATTTATTATTCGGCTTGTCATTTACGGATACAGTATCATATTGGAAACGTCTCGGCGGATGATTATGCTATCAAATTCATCTCTTTAACACAAAGTTTATAACGAATGCTGTGAGGCAGGTGGGGGGGGGGGGTTCCAGTGGGAGTATATGTGACACCCCCCCCCTCCCTGGTCACCTCACTGATTGTTTGTCTACTGTACTGTCTCATTCATGATACAATATTGTTTATTTGTTTTTCATTAATTAGTAAAGGTATGTTACTGTAATAATCTGTACTTATTAATATCTGTACCCTTCATATACTACAATACTGTACAGTATTATGTATATACTGTACCTCATAGGTTATAAATAATGTCATTCAAGACATTGCATCAGGTCAGGTTAGTAACATGACCCCATAATCTCCTACCTTCATCGCAAGTGTTAAGACGTGATTACAGTTATGTATTACAGTTAATTGGATGAAGTGTCTGCCTACTTAGGCTAAAGATGACAGGATCTGCTGGTGAGTACAATATATACAGTACAGTATACATTATTATGTTTACAGTATGAACAATATTGTACAGTGGTGTTTGCATACATAACTACAGCTCCTGTGAGCTGTAACACAGTTCTATTGCTGCCCGTATCATATAGAGCTTTTGTTTTCTAAATACATTTATTTAACCAAACTTTTATATAAAGTATTTAGGATTATTTTGATAAAAAAAAGGTGTGTCCAACGAAATTAGAACTGATTTTACTGACTCCGGTATCAACATTTCTTACATTTTCGTTTTGTAAAAGAATGGAATTCCCATCACTATGTTATATCAAAATATTTTGTTTAAGGACATCTTATTGGAAATATCTCGTAGTAAATTTATTAAGGATCATTAAGGTATCAAATTCATCTCCTAATCACAATTAGCCACGCTTGAGTGAGGAAGGGGGGAGGGAACTGACCACACGACCCTCATCCCCCCAAAAAGGTTCGCTTCCTTCAACAACACTCGGCCCACAACAGATAGTTAGTCCTTTTGAATTAAAGAACTCCTGTTAAAAGCCATGAAACATAAAAAAAAGGGGATAATTGTTTGTAAACAGCTCCATTTCGGTGTGATAATATGGGCCAATACATCTTCTTGACATCAATCCAGGCTGTGAGATGCACATTTTGATAAACACCCTTCCTTCATGGTGTTTGTTAGGTAACTGAGCAAATGTGAAATTAATGAGGGTGAATTATTACTGAAGGTGACATCTACTGTAGTATCAATATAAGACTCGGGCATCTCCAGTATACTGTATTTGGGTAACATCAGCCTGTATTTCATGCGTGCTTAGGACTGGAAGGGTTATGAAGGTGAATGAAATAAATGATTTCGGCAAATGAAAGTGGATTAGGTAAATGATCTTAAAAAATAAAAAGAAATATTCACTGTAATTAACCTGATCCATGGGAGTAACTTAAAATTGTTCCGCAGAATGAAAAAACTCTTGAAGAGATTAAGGAGCTGACATCACACAGGGATGTAGCAACACTGAAGAAGTTACTACTGAACCGTCTTTTGTTTGGCACCGCTGGACTTCGGGGCCGCATGGGAGCTGGCTATGCACAAATGAATGACCTTGTTATTATACAGACATCACAGGTAAGTAAAGTTTAACATATTACCCTGAGTTAATGACCTTGAAAATTTATCATAACATTGATGAGAAAGGGTGGACTTCAAGATTCGTGGGCTTGAAGTCAAAGTTTCATCTACCTGTGATATAAACCATACAACATTTGAAAATTTTTACTTGGGGTTTTGAGGATTCATGGATTAGAGCTCAAGCATGGTGATTCTGCGGCAGATCTATGATAATCTGCTGTGTATAATGACACACAACCATTAGATAACTACAGTTATGCTGTCCCTATACATAACAGTACAGGGGGTACCCGACTTACGAACATCTGACTTACGAACGCCTGCCGATACGAATGGGGTTAAACTTGAAATTTACAGTATTTTATTTACCTGATGACTTATTTTTTACTTTCATTTACTCAGGCTGAGGGGCAGGTGGTGACTGGCTGAGGGGCAGGTGGTGACTGGCTGAGGGGCAGGTGGTGACTCTGGCTGAGGGGCAGGTGGTGACTCTGGCTGAGGGGCAGGTGGTGACTGGCTGAGGGGCAGGTGGTGAGACTGGCTGAGGGGCAGGTGGTGACTCTGGCAGAGGGGCATGTGGTGACTCTGGCTGAGGGGCAGGTGCAGACTCTGGCTGAGGGGCAGGCTGGTGGTTTTTCTTGTGGAAAATGGCACTGATGGCTGAGACTTATGAACAGGCTTCAAGAAATCGGTGACTTTGGCCTGCTTTGCGTACTCCTTGTTCTGCTGATGAAGCTCCGTGTAGCAGCTGAATAATTCCCGCAGGCCATTTCTCACCTTGAAGCTGCATTCACCACCAGCGTTTAGGTAAAACATACTCTGGCTGCAGGTCTGCATGTTACCCAAAATTGTTTCCAAGTTGGTTAAAGTTAAGGTAGGGAGGATGTGTGGTGACTCCTCTGCTTCCTGCTCCTTCTCATGAGAGATGAGGAGCTCAGTGACGTTCTCTTCTGGTGCACCGGTGAAGCCCCTGAAGCTATGTACAGCGTCGGGCCAAAGCTGTCACCACATTCTGTTCATTGTAGCCGGTGACATTTCCTCCAAGGACTGTGTAATGTTGTTTAGGCCTTTTTTGATGTTGTATGCCTTCCAGAAGTCTTGTACAGACAATCCACCTTGATCACAGGGCTGCAGCAATGTGGTGGTATTCGGAGGCAGAAACATTACCTCGATGTTGTCACCCGAGTTGTTTTGATCATATATAGCATGATGGTGTGAATTTGTAACCATAATTAAAGTGGAATACTGTATTGTCTCTCGGGATATTGTATCTTGAGGTTTACCTCTATGTAACAGCTTATGGATAGCACTTACAGTAACACATGTAACAGCTCATGGATAGTATTTACACACAAAAAAAATAATAAACTTGTTCATTGTTTTAATTATTGTATTACCTTTTTCAGGGATTTGGCAAGTACCTCACAACAGTTAACCCAGAAGCAAAGACGAAGGGTGTTGTCATTGGTCATGACAGCCGTCACAATAGTCATCGGTAAGTTAGTTTTTTAAATTTTGCAGATTGATAAGAAGGAAGTAATGTGTAGTGTATTAGTTACATTGGACTGTGCCAAGTTAGCATATTAAATGAGATTGTGTCCTCTTTATTACTGCCTAAGTTCAATGAAATTCATTATAGATGTGCAGATTGCAATCATTATTGCTGGAAATTCCTTGCTTAAAATTCAATTAAACCTTTCTTCTTTTTATATATAGCCTTTTGGTTATCAAGTTTCTTATGGAACCCATACCATTAGAATTTTCCCTGGCAAAACATGCCATTACGCACTGTTTTGTCCAGCAAAGCTAGAGTTGAGTTATTGCTTTCTACAACTAAGACTTTGATTACATCAAAAGCCAACAAGGTTTTAGAAACACCGAATTGAACATATGAGATATTGTGTATTTGGAACTGCAACCATAAATGGGATTTCAGGTTTCTGTGATCTTCAGTTTCTTTCCATTTGCTGTGGCTGTGGATGCATCTGACTCGCGGGAAACACCATTTCCACGCTGCAGTGCTTCCAGCACTTTGTTTTTCTGCTCCAGTGTACAGTAATTGCTTGCCTGGATTTCTTGGCCGTTGGGGTAGTTAATGGTGTAGTGGCTGGCCTCTTGGACATAGTGGCGATGGTTGATGCACGTGGTAGAAGGAGATAGTGTCACATAATATGTCCGTTCACTTGAGCACAAAAGTGCACAAACATGCCCCTTTGGAGCATTATGCTACTAGACTAATAGGCTGAAGGATAGAATCGTGAGTCTCCTTTGCCATCCTCCACAGTAAAAATGGATTTTCAAGATAAGTCATTGATTTTATAATACCATTCCAATTTCTTTTCGTGTCTAAAAAATCAGGTTTGTACTGTTTGATGCACTTTCTGTGAACAACAATTTAAGGAGTGTTTCCTTCACAGGTTTGCTAGATTGGCTGCTGCAGCTTTTTTGAATGCTGGAGTACCTGTTTACCTTTATGGAAAGATTGTACCAACACCATTTGTACCATTTGGTATAAATCAACTTGGAGCAGCTGCTGGAGTCATGGTTACAGCATCACACAACCCAAAAGAAGATAATGGCTATAAGGTGTATTGGGAAAATGGAGCACAGGTAAAGTGGATAAAGAAGAAGCTTATGATAATGTATTTTGTTGTATGAAAATAATGATTTTCTAGTAAAGCAGATTAATTGAATGAACTTATTTTCTTTTATGATAGAGGTAAGACAAGTTACCTTTGTATACTCGTATGCTTGCTTCCTTCAAGTCACGACCTCTTTATCATGTTATGTGCATCTTGGCAATGCTATAAATGCAGTTTTCATTTCAACTACAGCATGCCCTTAAAATTTGCAGGGGTTTGGGTCACAAAATGGCCGCGAATAGCCAAATCCGCGAATATCATTTGCTGACCGGTCGGGGAGTACATTTTTACTCGTGTTTAAAGAAATGTATATTCCCTTATGTGTTTGCCCATAGGACAATTATTTCTTTTACCTGTATTGTATATAGTTGTACACATACACAAAACACATACAAATAAATAATAATAGGAAAATCCTCTCACAAATAATCAGAAACATGACAACAAAATGTATCAAAATGTAGAAAAAATGTGTGAGTCTTCCCTCAAGTCAACTCTGTGCTTTGTTATTAAATTTAACTCAACTCTGTGTGTGAGTGAGAGAAAGCAGTGGTCCTCCCCACCCTGCTATATGGCAGTGAGACATGGGTCACATACAGGAGGCACCTCAAGGCACTTGAAAACTTTCACCAACGTAGTCTACGTTCCATTCTCCGAGTTTGCTGGGAAGACAAGAGAACAAATGCCAGTATTCCTGCTGACACCAACTGTAGGAGCAATGAGGCTACCATTATCCATGAACAGCTATGCTGGACTGGCTGTTACGATAATTTCTAGTAACAGTATAACAGTAACGGGGAGAACATAATATCTCTACCTTTACCAACTGTGTATCTGTTGGATGACTGTTACTTGTTGTATAACAACTATTTGTGAAGCTCTCATATATGTAACAACCTTCCTAGATTGTCACCACTTGTAACAATCACTTGTGAAGCATGTTACCTTATATTCTAGACCAGTGGTTCCCAACCTTTTTTTCTAGCAACCCCAATCATGTACCTCTAGCCATGAATGCAACCCCAATGGTTAAGGTTAATTTCATTCAACACCTCCCACATAGGCCTATTTCTCCTACAAATTTGTGGGAATTTTCCATGAAGTGGCAGAACTGCTTCGCGATCCCAAGAAAAACACTTGGCGACCCCAGGGTTGAGAAACGGGGTTCTAGACGAACTAAAATATAGATCAAAGTTTATTGGATCTTCTGTAGTGAAATCCAATATGATCCTTTTGTTTGTTTATTATAAAAAGAGTTCTATGTACACATTCAAAAAGGATTATCACCGTAACTTAATCACTGTAGCTAAGAGTGTTAAATGAGGACGAAGGCTATCTTATTGTAGCTCTTCTAAAATATGTCCGATTGATGTGAGAACGGGAGTGATCTTGAGTAGGGACCCTCGAGGGAGAACGGAAATATATCCGATGTCCTCCCTCGAGGAAAGACGGAACCATCAACGATGGCTCTAAATAATGTCTTCCTCTCGTCAGGGTTATCAAACTACTGCCCGCAATAGGTGGCCAGAGAGCCGGTTACTTAATCCTGAACTCGGCACCAAGTGATGTGACTAACTGTGGACACACCTTATCGCGTGGGCCTAGGGTTAACAAAAGCCTTCATTAGAGAAAGGAAAGGGAACATACAGTGAACATACAAATAAATGTTTACAGTGGAGGTTACACAGGTCACGTGCGCTGAGGTGCGTGTGTGTGTTTGTGTGAGAGAGAGAGAGATCATTGCTATAGTTTTTCCACAACTCTTAAGGCTGTTTTTTGTAACAGTGGCAACATACACATTCTTCTCCCTGCTCCCTGGAGAGATACCAAACACTTCATTACTAATAGCTAGGTAGTTCTCGAACATTCTAGAACAAATTTAGGGAAGGCTGGTACTTGTCTCAGCCCACACAGGATGTTTATTATTGAATGATAATAATTGTCTAAGCCCTTTAGGAGTTAATATGCAGTTGCTTAAAGGCTTGTCACACATTTATTTCATAAAGATTTCATTACATAGACATTATTTATTTCCACACATGATTTTATATTCAGTATGCATGCTTTAAATAAATCTGATGTAATTGTTGATGGAAACTCGTATCCCATTTTTCACTGTGACTTTGCCATACCTGTATGTACAGAATTGCTGCCATGAGGTGAAACATTTCTCCTGAAGGCAACCCCACAAAATTACTGCATATCCTGGTGGTTCCCCCCCATTTACAGTGCAACCTTCACCACGCCCCACCTTGCTTCCTGTTTGACTTTGTTTTGTTTCACGTAAACTGAGGACATCAAGGTCCTTTTAAGATGAATTATAGGTATCACTATATTAATCAATGTTGAATATGTGAAAAACAATATTAGCAAGAGTACCAGTATTCAATGTCCTTAAAATTGCAGATCATACCACCCCACGATACAGGCATACAAAAGAGCATTGAAGAAAACCTTGTACCATGGGAAAATGCTTGGGATACAGAAAGAGCAATGGCACATCCTGAGATGAGTGATCCTCTGGAAGAAATATCTAACAAATACTTCAGCATGTTGGCCTCCTCCATGCTTGACAAGGATATGAACAAAGCATCACCTCTCAACTTTACTGTCACTTCCATGCATGGAGTGTCTCATAATTACATGGTTGAGGCATTCTCAAGCTGTGGCTTTAAGGTAAGATATCATTAAGGTATTTATTTTTTTATAAATTTATGCCATATATTTAATGTTTTCACAGTTAGTTGGTCTCTTTGCTCCTTAGTAGTACTGTACAGTGTGCAGTAGAGTGATATACCCGTTAGCCGGAACAATTGGTGCAGAGCACTTCCGGTAATGAGAGATTTCCGGGTAACGAGACGACTCTCACAAAGCCGGAAAAAAATCCCTCATCGCTGGAGTTTTCCAGAATTTTCCAGGTAACGGAAAAATTTTCTCGGAAGTTCCAGAAATTGCCCATTACGTCATCTCTCGAACTCGGAAAAATATCCCCAATCCCTGGAATTTTCCGGGTAAGGGAAAAATTTTCTCGTAATATTCTGGAAAATGTGACCCTCAGAAAATTGCTTCCAAAGCCAAAATTTTCCAGAAATTTCTGGCTTTGGGAACGATCCTCCGAGAAAATTTCAATTCCGGCTATCGGAGAGTTCCGCGTTTGAGGGATTCCAGCTAACAGACTCCCAGCAGATGAAATTTGGCAGATTTTTATTTTAGTGATATACTGCCCATTCTGGGGTCACTAATCCTAAAGGGATAACTTAACTATACTCTTAATTTTAAGGTCGCTGCCACCAGACCCCCCTGGACAGTATGTAGCTTGTTAGGTAGCTGGCAGAGCAAGCCAGGCACGGGGTTATGTTTGGATTCATCAAACCAAAGGTGGGAGTAAGGGTAAAACATCATTCATGACTTAACTAATTTTTTTCCTAATAAATAAACAGTGCATTCAGTTACAATACAAAAAAAATAGTTGGCCTTCATCAAAATAACTACTACTGTATTAGGTTCATCACAATTCACACTAGAACACAACTTTCAACAAATTAACTAATTAAAATCTGCATTCTTCATAACAAATCATTAACCTCCTTACCCAGGTCAATCTTTATACAATCACCCAAAAATACTTTGTAGCACCAACATTTACAGCACCATTCTTCCTTGTAGCACCGAGGTACACGTGATCGGTACCCCGCTCACACCCTACTCTTCCTAGGTAGATGGGATACTTCCCTGGTAATCATACTAGGACTATTCCAGCGTCTGGTATCATGGGGTTGCTTATGTGGCGACCGCGAATCATTCCATTCAAGACAATCATTGTCTTCTGTCCTAGATGGTGATATGTGAGATGTCCAGAGGCCTTAATGGAGATTGCAGGGTGGCCAGCAGAGTTTCCCACAGTAACATGTGGGTGCCTCACAGGAGGACGATGATGGCTGGGCCATGCATTTCTCTGACTCCCTCGGGCCTACATACGCTCTCGGTGTACACCTGCGTGGGTGAGAAGAGACGCCCAACTGATACTATAGCGTGGCGTCTCACCCTTAACTAGGCCTACAGTTTCCAAACTTTAAATTTCACTTTGACATTATTCTGGTTCTCACTGATACACTTTCTCATCTATTGTGATTTTATGCCTTATACAGTAATTACATATCTTAATTCTAAATTACATACTAAAGTAAGTCTGGTTTGCTAGTTTCTGGGTAAATTAATTGGGTTTTATCATTAACTCAGAAGCGTAGCCCGGGGCGTCTTGGGCGCCAACATAGAACAAAGGCCTAGGCTCGTGTTTTCTTGGCGTGGGTACATCCACTTCACCTCACTTTGTATTTAGGGATCCACCCCTCACACGTTGCAATCGTTGAACACATTCATACGATTCTCTGATCACTGCATTGTTCGTGGTTATTCGTCACATGGGGGTAACGAGGTGAACTAAGCTCACACCGGGGTATACAAGATATTCTCTTTGAAGCATAGTTTCTGGATCACTTCCAACACTACACATAGGTCTGATACATTTATCCTTTTTCCAGATCATTGTTCTCATATATTTTCATTTGATATCTGCGGTAGCTATGTTCACTAATCGTTCACAGACGTAAATATTGTGACCTTCAGACACGGTCTACACACGGTTACACTTATCATTTTTAGTACACTAGTCCATATCAATTGGACCTTCCCAATCATCCTATAGATACCTTGAGTTCTCCTTAATGCTATCAGTACATACTCTTAATATTATATGCCCGTACATTGGTACAATTCGTATAAAACAACATACCAGTAGGTGAGTTATCCCTTACCGAAGTTTCCCATTTTCTAACGTTTTCTGTGACTCTACAAGCGCGGTGGATTTGAATGTTATCTAGCGTAATATGAATTAAAGAGATATTAAGGATGACAATGATGTGCGCAGTACAGTGGTACTGTATCATTTTTTGTGGCATTATTAATTACTGTGTTCCCCAAATTATTTAAATGTGTTTTTTCTAAATGACTCTAGATGCAAAGGTAAAACGTGTCATAAATGTTGCTACTAATAATTGAGATAAAAGAATTATTATTATTTTTTGTTTGTTTTTTGTAATAACGGATGGGTCGTGCACTGAAGGATCCTTATTGATGGGCTATGCCACTACTGCCCTTCTTGCAATCTACAAGAAATTGCTTTGTGATCTTCTGGTAGATCACGATTGACATTTTGGCCACCCCTGCCCTACAGTATACCCTGGCCCCTAATAGCCTCGGATAATGAGGGGTGTATAGTATCCAAAAATATGTGGTCAAAGTTGCTGATTGGGAACACTCCTCCCCCTTTATTTACATTAATTCTTATGGGGAAAATTGCCCTGATATTCGCAAATTCGTTATTCGCAATAACTTGGGAACACATCCCTTGTGATAACCGGGGTATTTCTGTGTATGAAAATTTGACTTGAGGTTTCATTATGATTTATCCAAAATTGTATTAATTTCAGCCAATGATTCCTGTAAAGGAACAAATGGTACCTGATCCAGAATTTCCAACTGTCAAGTTTCCAAATCCTGAAGAAGGTAAGAGTGCATTAGACCTGTCTTTCAAGACAGCTGATGAAAATAATTCTACAGTTATACTTGCCAATGATCCAGATGCTGATCGGTTGGCAGTAGCTGAAAAACAACCAAGGTAATAAATGTTTGTATCTTATTACTAATATTATTATTATTATTATTATTATTATTATTATTATTATTTCTGCTTTAGATGGAATTAGTTGATGCCAGTTGTTGTTATTTATAAGTAGTACTGTATAGCTGTGAGAGTTTATGGTATTCATTACTGTGAGAGTTGTTGTAAAAGCAAATAGTGATTGGGGAAGAGCATTATGGTTTAGAATAGGTTAATAAAAACATATGAACATTAGAATTCATGTAACTACAACGGGTTTATTGGCTCCTGTGAGACAACTTTTTATTTACACCCAGCCATTATCATTCTGGTGTCTGTCCAACCTATACAATAGGGTTATGTTCCTTGGGTTCCCCCGTAAGGCATATTCATGGCAGTTGTAAATAATGTTGTTGATTATTATGGGCTGCAGTCGAGCAACACTGGACAGCTATAACCATGGCTGCCAGATACAAATTGTGCAGAGTCATCTAAGCTGCCAAACAATCGGATCCTGAACTACCGAAGTTCAACTTGTACAATGTCAGTTAATTGAGACTAATTTGTTTTATACACAGTATAAACTCGCTTAAGTGATTCTGCCAAATGTTCCTCCCCAGAACTTTGGGTCTTAACTAGTCAACTATTCAGACAGTGAGGAATATTGAGGACAAAATAAGAGCACTTGCAACAGACTACAGTGAAGTACATAACAGTTGTAATGTGATGCTTTAGTATAAATAAATGCGGGTAGAGTCTGCTTATTAGCTTGTTCGTCAGTCAGTCAGCTGGCCTGACTGCTGCGCTTCCACCTGTGCTAACATGTGGGAAACTGCATTTCATACGTTCCATGTTTTGTTTATAGAGGGGGTCCCCGGGTTACGAATGGGTTCCATTCCCGAGGACATTCTTATGTCAGATTTGTATGTAAATCAGAACACATGCTATGTGCATACCGTACTTATAGAACAATGCTTAAAATCCCATTATATCATAGCCTAAATCCTTTTATTCAACTAAATTACTTAATTTAAAACAAAGGAAGAAATAGAATGACAAAATACAGTAAATGAAAGTAAAAAAATAAGTTATCAGGTAAATAAAATACTGTACAGTAGACTCGCAACTTAAGCGAGGGTTACGTTACTGGGACTTCGCGTAAAGCAAAAAAAAAAGAAAAAAGTCAGAAACTCCTAAAAATCATCTAAATCGCCCTTAAATCACTATATAAATACGTACTAGAACTCATAAATCACAACTGTAATGTGATACAGTTGATTAATTTTTATCTCTTGTGCAAAATATATGATACTTTTACTTTTACTTTTATCCTCTTCGCCACTGATCGGCTTGTTAGCCACTTGGGCGATCGGTCACGTCTCTTTTCCTTTATATTCTTCACCAAAAGGTCGGCTCGCTAGCCGCCCGGGCGATCGGTCACGTCTCTGTCACGCACTGTTGGCAAATACTGGGCATGCACCGGCTCCTGAATGTACCTGAACCCGCTCCAGTGTTGGTCAAGTCTTCTCTTGAAAGAGCTCACACTCGGTGCCGTCACAACACTCTCTGGTAGATTGTTCCAAGAGTTTACAACCCTCACTCCGAAAAAGTTTGCCCTCACGGTTTTCCGGACTATATTCAAATTATTTGCTGTCTTGCAAGGATTCTAGCAATGCAAGATATATTCTCCTAAGTTTAGTCTGTGATATTTTATAAGATAAAAACTTTAAGCCTAAAACCACCAAACCCTGGCTGAGAAGGTGGGAAAGAGGGGGAGGGGAGGGAAGGTGAGGTGTTTGACAGCTGGCACCAGAAGGTCTAGTGAAGTATTTATTTATTTATTTATTTATGTCCTTTAGAGTGAGTTTTTGTTTTTTTCTTATAAAATGTCACTGAACTGACCTGGGAGAATATAATTTACATTGCTGGGATTCTTAAAAGATAGTGATTAATTTGAATATAAACATGCTATAGTTTGCACTAGACATAAAAATTTGGAAAATTTATAGTTTGAAATTGGAAATTGTAACCTAACCCCTGGGGTAATCCGCGTATAGTTGAAACCGGGTAAGAAAAATACGCGTAAGTTGCGAGTACAGTGGTCCCTCGGTTAACGAGATTTCGGTTAACGAGTTACCTTCCATAAGATTCTTAACTTCGGTTAACGAGCAATCCCTCGATTAACGAGTTTCTTACGAGCCAACCTCCACATGTTTTAGCTTGCATTTAGCGGTCCACCAGCTGTAGTATTAGTCTGCCAATACAGTAATCGGTTCTAGGGCTTAAATTCCTTACCCTTTTAGTAAATATCAAGAAGTTTATACTATTCAATAATTTTAAAAGTTTAATATTAAATTTTTTAGTCATTTTAACAAACACCCATTGAAACAATGGTTTCGGTTGACGAGTTCTTCGGTTAACGAGCAACCTTCTAGAACGGATTGTGCTCGTTAACCGAGGGACCACTGTACTGTACAGTATTCTAAATTTCAAGCTTAACCCCGTTCGTATCGGCGGGCATTCATAAGTCAGACGTTCGTAAGTCGGGGAGCCCCTGTGACAATAGAATCTTGTTTTGTGTAGACCATTGAATTATGTTATAATATTTTTCACTTTTTAACTCATAAAGTGCTGAAAAGTATACAAGGTAGATGGAAGATATTTTTAATATGAATGCATCTCCCATTATATAAAGGAAGTTACATGGGTTATTTCAATATTTTTGGAGTACAATGTAATGTAATTTGATATTTTTTTTTCCAAAATCACAAGATCGTGCTAATTTCACCTCGACAAAAAAATAAAAGGTTATTCCAAAATATTGAATTTGTGAATGTTCCTTGAACTCTGGGATAATTTTTTTGTTTTTTACTACAATGTATTTCATGGCAAGTTTGTGCAAGCTGCCACAATGTCAAGTATGTGCCAAGATGAACTATGAGCCAACCACTACATTTAGTGAATAATTGTGTTATCTACAATGTTTCATTAATCAGTCGACAGTAGTTAATGTTATAAATTGTAATATTGTATTTAATAATATATTTTGTTTTTTAGTGGTCAATGGAAAGTGCTTACTGGGAATGAAGAGGGGGCACTTTTTGGATGGTGGGCTTGGTTCCGTAGCCGCCAACTCACTCAACACATATCTCCCAATGACTGTTATATGGTGGCCTCCACAGTTTCCTCAAAAATTCTTCGGGCAATTGCAAATAAGGAAGGATTTCACTTTGTTGTAAGTACTTATGGAAACAAAGACAGATCTTTGGTTTACATTCTCAACTGGGCTGTTTTTGGCATGTAAAATAAGAAGTCCAAGTCATTGGCATAGATTTGTTGTGAGTGAAGGAGGGGATGACTTCCAACACTTGTAGAAGTTTGCTTCTGAACATGATTTTTTATTTACTTTGTTTTAGAAAGCACAAGGCTTATACATAATTAGTTTAATTTTTTGTTACCTTATAATCTGTATTTTCTGTTGTCTTTTAGTAAAGTAAATCCACAAGTTCATATTATACAATAATTTGTTCCCTAAAAATGAAGTTACTTGCTGAGACTGCCTTATATATAACCTGACAAGCTGACCCTTGACATCAACATTAACACCGGTATTTGGTCAATCCTTGTGATTAGAAGCAGGTTGACCCTGATATCACTAGCTGTCATCTCAGAGGAGGGGATTGATGATGACCTGAGTTGAAAAGCGTGCACTCTGACTTCACTGTCAGGTCTCAGTCAAGGGAGGGGATGTCAGGCCTGGAAGACCTTGTCGATAATGACCTGAGTTGACAAGTGTTGACACGCAAGAAGGACCCTAGCTGACATCAGTCAAAATTAAATCTAAAACTCATACTGAATGTTGACCTCAGACTATTCTCTCACTCACAATGATTCGTAAACAGCAAAACAGAAAATGACAATAATATTTATTTATTTTTTTTTTTTTTTACTTCAAAATCTGAGAGGTTTTAGATTTTTTATTCTGAATTACATGAATTATAGGTGGGGGATTATTATATAGGAAATCCTTCAACCCAGTTGTATGGGGGGATGTATCTCCCATGACTCCCAGGATCTACTCCCGTGTTTCAAGTTGACACGTAGCAAATAAGAAAATGTGTATTGGTGTACATATATACACTGTTTTGTATGCATAGTCTTCAAGAGCAACTGTTTTGTGAAATTTCTCTCTTGGCTTGATTGTATTCTGCATCTCTTGGGAGGAATACAAATTGCCTGTAAACCTGATCGCTCCTCATTTTATCATCTGCATCAAACTAATCAGATGTGGCCATCTGTGTATTCACATCCGCCACTGTTTCACCTGCTACTGTCTCAGCTATGTATACATCTTGTGATAGGAAAAGTAAGGCTGTACGGTCTGCCATTCTAAAAATCACCAATTGTTCCCTGGTTCAAGAAACCTACCAGATTTTCTCTAAATTTCTTATAATTTTTAGATGATTTGGCAAAAGGTGATGCAGTCGTCAATCTACTGGCTGTGCATCCTGGCTTTATATGACTAAGAATGAATGCTTTACAATCATCATTGTTAGTAACATTTTTGTATCTTGTCACATCTTCACATGTACATATAAAAGTTACTACATCATTGTTTGTATCTTCCCTGTGAAATCTGAGTTGCAATTATACTGTAGTAGAATTTTCAACATGTTAGTAATGGTTGCTTGCTGTACTATGTTAGCCATGTTAGTGATTAGTAAACCCTCGAAGATTCGGACTCGGTAAATCTGGATTTTGGAAGATCCGGACAAAATTTGGGGATTTCGGGGGACTTGGAAGCCTCCTTAAGAAGCTTTCCCAAAACAGAACAAAGATCATCTTCGGCCGGTGTAACCAAGATGTCAGCGCGCAGGACACAGGTGTCCAAGGCGGGAAACATAAACTGAGTTGTCAATTATTGTTTGTGGGAATATTATTTCATTCACTCTAGTAATGATACAATGTTTCTTATATTATCAATTTGCTGTTATTGTTAGTGTTTAATGATATAATGCTTAATAGTGATTAATCGTGGCATTGTCGCCAAATTAGGCTTGTCACTGTAACCACCAGGCTACTGGCTACTAGGCCAAGCTGAGGGGTGTCATGGTTGTTTTTCAACTCGTATTTTTGGGTAGATATACGTAACTTTCTTCATTTATTTTTACTCGGTTACATGCATACACCATCCTTCATAAATATTGTGAAAAAGGTAAAAGAAATAATTGTCCTAAGGGCAAACACACGAGTTAGCTGGCTTAGTGGGGCAGATGGAGGAGGTGAAGGTAGGCGTGTGGTGGGGTGGGGAGCGTTGCTAGGGAGTCGGAAGAGGTAGTGTCCCAGCTGGTTAATGTTTCTATGATGAAACAGGGAGTGTATACAAATGGTGACTGTTAAACTGTCATTTGGCTTTTATTTACTGGTTTGGCAATCCAGTATTTTTTGTTTTATCTTATTTCTTGGTATTAATTTTATTTATTCCTCTCATTTACTGGTACTGTATATATTGTTTTAAGAAAACTATGGTTACTGTATCACTGTATGGACCTAAAGTCAAATATCTGTTCGTATCATTTATTAACATTACCCTAATTTAGTAGAAAATCTTAAAAGTAATATCTCCGTCAGCTGGAACTCTCCAATAGCTGGAATTTAAATTTTCTCAAAATTATTCAAGAAAAATTCTGAGCAAATTCTGGTTTGGGAACAAATTTCGTGGTTGAAAATGACATGTATTTTCTGAAAATTCCAAGAAAAATTCTGGAAAATCTCAACAAATTTTTATTTCCCTCTTCCACCCTCTCTTTATCCTCTCCCTTCTCTCCCATTCACCTTCCCTCTCCCTCCAACTACCTCCCTCCCCCATTCACCTTCCCTCTCCCTCCAACTACCTCCCTCCCCCATTCACCTTCCCTCTCCCTCCAACTACCTCCCTCCCCCATTCACCTTCCCTCTCTCCTCTCCCCCACTCACCCCATCTTCCCCCTCCACCTTCACTCCTCCCTCTCCCATTCCTTTCCTCTCCCCTTCCACTTCCCCATCTTCCCCCTACCCATCTTCCCCCTCCCTCCCTCCCCTACCACCTTGGAAGACATTGGAAGCATAATGTGTTGTCTAATGGTAGACCCTGCTGCCAAATGGCGTCACAAAAATTTTGACCAAGTCCCAGGTTGCTGATCTGACTTTCTGCCTCATTTACACACAATTGCAGGGTCTCAATTGTCTCTCTTGCTATTGACAACACAACATATGTAACTTTTCTCAATCTTGATATGTTTTATTCTTTCTATGCTTTTATTCTATGAAATCAGCTAACAATAATATTAAAGTGGGGCCCTCTCTGATGGGCCCCACTTGTCGGGAAGGTTGTGGACCCCAGGGCCGACCTGATCATCAAACTACTGGGACTTCAACTGAAGGATCGGCTTTTTTCACACTTAATTTTTCCAACATTCGCGGCCTAAGATCCAATTTTCCTTCTGTAGAGCATCATCTATTAACCTCTTCCCCTGATCTCTTACTTCTATCTGAACTTGAACTGACCAAAGCAGCTTCACCCAAACCTTTTCAAGTCTCCAACTATGACCTTTACACCTCTTTCCATTTGAAGGGAGGTGTATGCGCCTACTGCAACACACGTACACCTATAGCTCGACTCACGGATCTTGAATCTTCTCTTTATGATGTCATTTGGCTCAAAATATCTCTACCAATTATGACTATTTTTCTTTGTTTCCTATACTGTTCTCCCAACTCTACCAACTATTTGGAACTCTTTGACTATTTCACTTTTTGCCATGAATCTTTGCTATCCACACACACCCCAACACCAAGATCCTCTACCTAGGTGATTTCAATGTACATCACAAGAGTGGCTTGGCTCTGCAAGGGGTGACCCAAGTAGATTTGAGGCACTCTTTTTTCTTACTTAATGATCTGGAACAAATAATTAAACACCCTATATATGTTCCAGATCAACACGATCAACTTGATCTTTGTTGTACCTCTAACCCCTCACATTATTCATACTCAATTTCTGCCCCCTTAGGGTCTTCTGATCACAATCTTATTTCTATTAAATCAAACTGCATGACCACCTCCCCCACCCCCCTCTAAACGTCAACTATGGCACTATCGGAGAGCAAACTGGCAAACCTTCCGAGAATTCTTCTCCGACTTTCCCTGGGATGAATGTTGCTTTTCTACTCGGGATGCCTTGGTTTGTGCTGACAGCATTGCTGGGGTTATACATGGTGGTATGAGTGCATTTATCCCATCTTCTACCAAAACTTTCACTTTACAATTACGGTTTGATCACTCCTGTTCTCTTGCATGTAGGGAGAGATATAGGGCATATCAAGTTATGAAACTATCGCCTTCTCCTGTTACCCACTCCTCTTTCATTACTTCTAGGAATCGATGTAAGGTTATTCTTTGTCGGGCCAAGAGGAATTGACACTGGCACGAGTAAGGAAGGCAGCCAAGAAAATGGGAGAGAGAGTTGGTCCCAGTACACATCCTTGTTTTACCCCTGTTTGGATGGGGAAGGACTCGGACTGGGAGCCATCGTGGATTTGGCTCACAATGGCGATGAATTTTGGTGGGCAGACAAAACAGCTGAGGGTCTGCCAGAGGGCTTTTCTGTTGACCGAGTCGAAGGCCTTGATTTGGTCGATGAAGGCCATGTATAGGTCATGATGCTGTTCTCTGCACTTCTCCTGTATTTTGCGGGCAGCAAAGATCATGTCTGGTGCCTCGTGATGATCTAAAACCACATTGAGATTCTGGGAGGAAGTTTTCCGCCTCAGGATGGAGTCTGTTTAGGAGGACTCGGGCGATAATCTTGCCAGCTATGGACACCAGCAAGATCCTAAGGTAGTTGCCACAGTCTGACTGGTTTCCCGTGTTCTTATAAATATTGACGATGGAGGCGTCTTTAAGAGCTTGGGAGATTTCCTCCTTTTCCCATATATTCTCCAGGAGAGAGTGGAGACGACTGGTAAGCAGAGTTCTTCCTGCTTTGTACACCTCGGCTGGGATTCCATCAGGCCCTGAGGCTTTGTTATTTTTCATCTGTTTGATGGCAGTAGCTACCTCATCACTGGATGGAGGATAGCTGAGGTGGGTCAGCTCTGGATGCTGAGAGACCTGCTGGGTAGTCAGGACACCCACATCAGTGTTTTGGTTGAGCAGTGAAAGGTAGTGCTCTTTCCAGTGCTGAAGGATGCCTTCTTCGTCTTTAATTATGGAGTTACCGTCAGATGAGTGGATGAGGATTGCGCCATGAGTGATTGGCCCACAAAATGTTTTAGTGGAATTGAACAATTCACGCATATTGTGCTGATATGCAAGTTTTTGTGCTTCATTTGCTTTATTTTTAAACCAGTCGTTCTTTAGATTGCAAGGTTTGTGTTGTGCTGCTGCTTTCTTCTTGCGGAAGGTATCAGCTTAGATCCAAGACTGAGGGTTGTTCTCCCAGTTAGTTAAAGCAGCACGTTTATCATAGACGAGTTCAATGATTGCTGGGTCATTTCCATTAAACCAGTCCTGGTGTATTCTTTCGATCTGGCCGAGAGGGTCTCTGTAGGTTTATGTCATGACAGTGCCGAGAATATCCCCTTCAGCACTGGGATTTGGGTTTGTTCTCGGGTTGTTTATCAGCCCATGTTTGAGATGCTCTCTGAAAGCATGTGCTACTGCTGGATCCTCCAGGCGCTTAGTGTAAAAACCTCTTCTGGAGGCTTGCTGCCTTTGGCGTTTTGGGGCGACGTGAGGTGAGAGCTTGGCTCTGACGAGCCGATGATCAGTGTTGCAGTGGTCTGAGCCACGCATGTCACGGGTGATGAGGACATATCGGCGATCTCTTTCTCTGACAATGATGTAGTCAATGAGATGCCAGTGTTCGGGTTGTGGGTGTTACCACAAATCCTTGAACTTGTCGGCCTGCCTAAACAAGGTATTGGTAATAGTGAGGTTGTGTGCAGCACACTTGCTGAGGAGGAGTAGGCAATTGGGATTACACTTGCTTAGTCCACGTCTCCCTATGGTTCCCTGCCAAATGTCAGCATCTCTGGGGCCCACTGCTACTCAGAGATCCCCTGCTGGTCTAGCCTGGGCCCACGAGGCACCCAGTTACCGTGTGTTGCCACGAGGAGACTCGGCAGGAGTCTAGATGGTGAAGAGGCTGTGTACTGGCAGGGGAAGACTTATGCAAGATGCTTACCTGTTTGCCATGAGGGCTAGCCAGCGGCCGTAGCTGAAAGCGAAAAGAAGCAAACAGTGCTTGCACCTTAACACTAACATAATCCTACCAAACTAGATGGGAATTAAGAGAGGAAGCATCCAGAGTGAGGTCTTATTTTATGACAAGTGTGTGTGTGTTTTAAAGATCGGCTCTTGAAGAGCGCTTGGCAACACTGGTGCATGTTACCATTCCTTTTCACTCCATCTCTAATCACCCACACCTTTTTGCTTTCACACTCCATATTTTAAAATGTTATACAACATAATGTTGAAGGGATATAATGTTACTCATTTATAATTACATTTACCACAGTTTCCCTCAAAAATACTTTAGCTTTTATCTTTATTCAAGACATCTTCAGGTCATGAGACCCACTAATCCCCCACCTAACAATGGGTGACTTGACATTGCATCAGAAAGTTAGTAATATGAGACCGCTAATCCCCCATCCTACCAGTCTTTGCTCTAACACCCAGCTTCATTCGCAACCGTATCATATAGGTTTTTAGTTTTTAAATATATTTATTTAACTAAACTTTTAGAAAAAACTATTCTGGATTATTCTTGTAAAGAAATTGAGTCTGTAACTTAATTAGAACTGCTTTGACAGACTCTAGTCGTTTAGACTCTCCAAAAAAATTCCCTAGCACCCAGAAGCATTCTGGGGATGTGGGCTAGTGTCTGTGCAAGATGCATAGTGGCCATTTCACTAACCATTTCACCTACTTCTCGTAAATTAAAAAATATTTAACTATTTCATTATAAATATTTTAATACACATCACTATATCACTTCATAAGAATAAAAATCGAGGTTGTAAGAGATAAATATCTTGAGGTGGCAGCGCAAACGTCACTGTGGCCATTTTTAAATTACGCCTGGGACGGACACACTCGCTGCTTACTGAGGCAGATGTACTACTGGAGTTTGTTGTCTGGGGACTGTGTGGTATACAGCACCTAGACGGGTTACCACCTAGCCTTAAGATATGGTACCGCACAGGAGAGTGGTATTAAAATTTGACCAGAAAATTTTAGGGGGGGGGGAGCCATAATGGCATGTCTTATCACGAGGCAAAAGCTTCATTTACATAAAATCAAAATGCCACTTATGCATCTCTGATTGTGAGAGTGTTAACAGTACAGTAGTTTTAATTCAAGTGTTGTGCATTTGCCAATTTTATGGGGTGAATGCTATTTCCAAGACATGAATTAGTACCGACTGTCACTTGACTTTTGGGCCAAGCTTGGTTATAGTATTGTATTGGGTTTGAGGAGTTATCTTCATTTTTGTGTTTAATACAGCCATTAATAAGCTTTTTATACTTTACAGGAAACACTGACGGGCTTCAAGTGGATGGGCAATGTATCTTATGACCTCCTGCAGAAGGACAAGACAGTGCTGTTTGCTTTTGAGGAAGCCATTGGGTTTATGAATGGATCTGAGGTATAAGTTTTGACAATTTAAGTTGTTCATACTGTATATACGTACTGTATGTATTGTACACTGGATTCTGTCAAAAATTAATTTTTTGCTCATTTACAATTGATACCAGTTTAGAATTACTGTTCATTATGCCCAAAGAATATGCCTTTGAAAATTTGGATCTTCAGCATCAGTCCTAATCATTTATAGTTGAGGATAATCTGAAGATTAGCCACCTCTGTTGCAACAATCCTAGCACTTAAAAAGGGGTATGAAGAAACTACAGTTGGGAAGCTCATCACTTAGCAACTATTTGAGTCATGATCATTCCATAACAGGATGCAGGACTAATACACAGTTACTGCTGCTTGTAAGCAACATGTCTAATCTCCTGACTCGGCCTTTTCATTAAGAAAAGCAAAATGCTGGACTTCCTTCTGCACATTGTGATTTCAAAAGCAACACAATTCTAAGTGTTACTTTTACTGCTAGAGTAGATTAACTTTCTGTTTTGCAAATATGGTAACAAGCTCTTATGGTAATCCCAACATGATACAATATGTGTCTTAGCTAATCTAATACAGTATTCCCTTAAAGCTCGTTGGGGTTAGGTAAAATGGACCTTGTGAGAAAGCAAAATCTGAGTTTTTCGTGCCAGTCCCAGGAGTGTGCAAAATACATAAATAAATAGCTATATGCACATGTATAACAACATTATGTATGCATAAAACAATATACTGTAATAAATATGAAATAGTATAAATAAATAAACATAAACATGAAATAACACTGTATGGACATTAGGTCCACACAGTGATAGTTAGCTGTGGTAGTGAGAAACATGATAACCAGTACAGTAGGCTATCTTATGACCTGGGAAATATGATGCTCTGTAGTGTTGACTCCTCTTGATCCTTGGCACACAGCCTCAGATTTATTTATTTTACATAGCAATCCGTGAGTTTCTGAGGGACGCAAACCTTAAAACCGTGAGCTTTAAGGGAATACTGTTCAGTAGAACTCTTTGCAGCAACCATATCTGCTTCCACAGCCTCTTTATCATTATTAGACAAAATTTATTCAAAACTATTTGTTTTATTAACCAGTCCCTTATATCCTCCATACTTCTTTATGTCAGATGATCTGTTTCTGTATTTCCATGGTTGGTGAGCTAATGGGATCCAGCTTATATTCCCCCTCCTTTTAATTTTCTTAGCAACAAATGACATTCTTTATTGTGTCTCCTACTCTATCATCCCCAATCTCTCATGTCTTTTTATTCAGATGCAACTTACAGCTCTTGAAGTTTAAAACACTATTCAATAATGCATCTTTCTCATCCATGGAACACTAGGCAAGCCTCACAGTGTGTCCTTTAGAGGATACACTGCCCTGTATAACTTCCCCCGTATATCACAGAGCTAAAAGATTAATATTAAAATGAAGGTGTGATTCCGAAATTCCCCTTTATGACTGAGCCTAGACTAAGTAACTCGTTAACCCTTCATACTCCTGTAGGGTTGCTTAGAAGTCAACTGGAACTTGAGTTTAAATTTCGAATAAATGGCTATAGCCGAGTCTTCAATACTGAAGACTGCATTACTCATGCAACTAACATGACAGTGTGATTAATTGATGTATGCCTAAAATAGGAACTCTGGTGTTTTAAAGATCCCAATTTAGGTACCTGGGCATTTAGTAAGGGCATGACTGATTTTTTTATCATTTCCAGTTGACAATATGAAAGGGTTTAATTGGTTCCAACCCTCAGTTATATTTGAGTCATTCAATCTAGGAGAAGATTTATAAAGGGGTGTCAGGATCAGTCCCTCATTACCTGATGACAACTGGGTCAACAGAGTTGTGCCCATCCCCTGGTCTCTGCTGCATTTTCAGGCCTGGTGCCTTAGAAAATGAGTGGGATGGGGGACATCCTGTTTTGGACATTCTGTTTTGGTTTTTCCCAACAGTTGCCATTAAGTAATCAGTTAACTCACACAAACATGGAAAATAGCCATAAAAGTTGATGGTGAGGATGGGACTAGAAGATACAGTTGCCTGCACTTATACCTGGTACAGTGACTGGCACATTTTGTGAGCTGTGGGTATTTTGTGGAATGCTTAGTCTGGCTACTATTGCGAGGCTCCTTGGGGTCATTCCAGGAGTTTTAATATAATTTAAATAAACTGAGTTGCCACTTGTCACAAAATGCACATGCTACTGTACCAAGTATAAGTGTTTGCAATTGTACATTTAAAAAGGTAATTTGCAGAATTCATCTTTGTTATTTTGCTCAAAACCTACAGGTACTGGATAAAGATGGAGTGTCTGCTGCCATGCGCTTAGCAGAGATGGCAACCTATCTCTTAAAGCAGAACATGACATTGACTGATAAGCTGCACGCTATTTATAAAATGTAAGTTGTTTCTTTTTCTTGTCAGATAAGACTAGTTGATCTTTTTTTTTTAGTTTGTTAATTTCATTGAATGTTGTAATTTACTGAATAAGTTCATCTGAACTAATTAACTTAAAAAGAAACTAATTTCATACTATAGAAGCATTTACTCTGTTCATCATATTGAACCATTTTCACTACAGTTAAACAGGGATTGATAATAGAGTGTAATTCACATCTTCAGGGGTGAGTACAGTGGTCCCTCGGTTAATGAGCACAATTCATTCCAGAAGGTTGCTCGTTAACCGAAAAATTCGTTAACCGAAACCATTGTTTCAATGGATTTTTGGGTAATTGGTTCCAGCTCACCGAAAATTACATACAAACTAAAAATAAATGCAGTAAAGTACACTTACTTTGAGGTGTGCATGTAGAAGGCTCCTGGTTGATGATGATGATGATGGGAATTAGAATGGGGGTGGAGGAGAAAGGAGAAGAGAAGGCACCCCATGCTGCCATTTCATCCATAAAATTTTAGTTCACTTGGTGTAATTCAAGATTATTTTCTTTAAATCAACACTGCACTGCGCTATATATTATCAATATGTAAAATATATTTCAAAATGACCAATAATTTGACTGGAAGCACAGAAAAGAAGCATTTATGTTGAAGAGTCTCAAACAAGATGTTCCTTCCTCTGAACTGGTAAACAAACTGACGCCAAGCTTGGTGTGTTGAGTGGCTGTTTAGCACACAAAAAACTAGTTTCCTGTACTTCAATTATGTTCAATAATTGTTAAAATGACTAAAAAATTTATTATAAAACTTTTAAAATTATTGAATAGTACAACCTTCTTGATATTTACTAAAATGGTAAGGAATTTAAGCCCTAAAACCGATTACTGTATTGGTGGACTACAGTAATACTACAGCTGGTGGGCAGCCAAATGCAGGCGAAAACATGTTGGGAAAAATTCGTAAGGAATTCGTTAACCGAGGGTTTGCTCGTTAACCAAAATGAAGAATCTTATGGAAGGTAATTCGTTAACCGAGGGATCACTGTACAGACGTATCCACAGAGTAGATAACATCTAAACGATCAGTATTTATAGGAAGCCTAAAAATGTGTGTTCATATATTCATTATTATTCTGCCTACCATTATCGAGTCGAGCAGTCATTATTCACTTTAATGATTTTATGTGCTCTACGAAAATGCAGTCCGGAATTCATTGATGAGGAATATAAATTTGTCTATAATAACGGATTGAACTTAAAATACCCTAGATCTTTTATAGACAAATGCCTTAACATCGCTAAGAAATCTTTCTATAGTTTTGTGGTGTCCTGCAAGGTGTCTCTCTTGTCTCAGGCAGCTGGGCCATGCGCGCTCACTCCGCCTCAGTCCGGGTTAAACACTTGCCAGTTTCGCATGTGTGCTACTCTGCTCTCTTAACAGCTGTGCTCCACGTGCTTGTGATGGCTCCCAAACGCCCTCAACCACCTTCATCCAGCCATGGGAAGGCGCCCAAACAAGTGAAGAGAGAAAAGAAGGTCATGTATTTTTCCCATACGTACACCTGGCAACAGGAGAAGGTGTCCATTATATTTCATAAAGTCTTACAATTCGTAAGGGCGTGAATTGGCAAAACTGCAAATATCAACTTATATTATACCTTAGTGCACTATAGCATACCTATACTGTACTGTGTATGAGAAATTACAGTCACCAATACTTACATTTGTATGTGGAAGTCTGGAGCTTGATGAAGTGTACTGTACAGTAGGATGAAATCTGGTTACTGAAGCATAGGGAGATAATCAGGATCGCTGTTGGAAGAGAGTGATGCAGTGGTGGTTGATGAAGAGGCCGGGTGGCGCATGGCGGGGAGGAGGGTGGTGGAGCAGCAGCGTTGACCGAGTAGGTGAGGGAGATGAATCAGCTGGGCGTGCTGCTAGTTCTTTCTTGAAAAACATATTGATTGGTTGTTGTTTCTTCTTGGCTGTGAGGTTTCTAAACATTTCACTCCACTTACACCATTAGCACTGACACTAGGTAGTCTTTTAAGGGCCATTTCACACAGAAACACTAAAGTTTTGAGTGCAGCACAAGAGATGCTATGTCGCAGGCAATGTTTGAGCGCAAACAAAGGGAGAGGAGGTGCTGCAGATGCGTGGGGGTAACTCGTTGCACTGCGGAAGAGGCTCGTAAGCTAGCCACCATCTGCTTACTGCGAATAGTCGAAATCGCAAATAGCAGGGTTTACTGTCTAGGGCAGTGGTGTCAAATTCAAAACCTTTCGAGGGCCAATTCTTATTTTAGTTACCCCCTTCAGGGCCAACACAAGTGCTATATCACATATTTTCAGGATTGAAGTTTACAGCTTTACACATTCCCTTACCTGGCCTACCAGGAATACCTCATTTGGTTTTGTCTGATCTTAAGTCCGTAAAGTTTATTTTACTTCATAAACATGATTATATCTATTTCTATCATAATTTCACGGGATGATAAATTTTACCGTCATCCCGTGGGCCACACCTGACCATCCCAAGAGCCACATTTGGCCCGCGGGCCATAAGTTTGGCACCCCTGGTTTAGGGGTTTTACTGTATCTTAAAACGGATTTTTTTTAAGTTTAATTCTTTTTTTTTTTTCCTTTTCAGGTATGGGTACCATACGTCCAACAATTCCTATTACATATGTCATGATCAGAATGTTATCAACAAGATGTTTGAGAGAATGAGGAACTTCACAGAGCCAAATACTGTAAGTGTATCTCAGGATGTTGTTGACAGGAAATTAGATTAGGAAGAAGTTTTCTCAGACCAGCCACTTCCTCCTCCTCCTCTCCCTGGCTGCACACCTGATCGTAGTTTTTTTTTTTTTTGCACGCCATTCCTTTATAGGCAAACCCTCCATTGTATAAGAACAGAATAAGATTTATAAGCTTTTGTTTTTTTGGTGTTGGAATACTTGTGCGATTTAAATGTTCACGATAAGATATACAGTTGTCTGGTGATTCATGGTGTGTTGCCAAACTGCCTGCTACTATCAGATACACTCCATCTCCCACATAGAATATACCCCTATTATCTTAATTTGTCTTATATATCTATAGTATTCAGTATAGTATTTTCTTTATTCATAAGACACACTAACACATTGAGATGACTTTTCTGCAAGTTCTGTGGTTACTTACATATAACAATGACATTAGCGTTCAGTCATGTGAGAGGTGACTGATATATTTTGGCTTGGTAGAAATTTAGCACTTGTATGGTACTTTTATTACTTATTATGGATATTTTTACTTTACAGTAAAACCTCATTAAAGCGGACCCCACTAAGCCAGATATCGCTTAAACCGAACAAAATTTGCCCCCCCAAATTAAAAAAATCTGTCCTAAGATGACATGTCCGCCTTGAGCCAAAATTTCGAGGGACCAAGGTGGACAGACTGCGTGATTCACCCACGCTGGTAAACAAAGGGACGTGTTCAGTCATAAATTAGCGTCGCCCATGATAGCATCTCTCCCACTCTCTCACCCCGCCGATTGTGTTTAATTGCCATTTAGACATGCCGACCTTTATTTTCAGACTTATTTGACATTGGCAGTAATGTGATTATATTGTAGGCTGAAGTAGCATACATATTTTTGTCTTTTTATTGGAAAATTAGACAATAACCATGACCCCTCAGAAAGTGTTTGGTGTCCGTAAGAGTGGTGAGAAGGTTAAGACTAAGACGTTATCAGTGAACAAAAGTTAAAGGCGATTGAAAAACTAGAAAAGGGTGCTACTCCTCGCAAATATGAGCTGAATACGGAATTTCAAAGCGGTCGGTGTCGGATATATGAAAATCGAAAGATAAGTTGCACAAATATGCCATGAAATTTAATGTGGACCAGGTAAAATCTGTCATTAAGAGAATGAGGAAAGTTGGGAATGAGAACTTGAAAGAGGCAGTGTATAAATGGTACATTAACTTTTTAATTAAAAAACTTGTATTGCTTTCATAAAAATTTGATACATTTGTGGTGTACTTATTCGTTTTTTGTTTAAAATGGCGGTTATCCAAGCGGTTGGTCTTCCCATCCACGCACCAACCATGTGAGGATCCGGTAAACATGGTGCAAACTTTCATATCTCCGGGAACTCTTGTCCCCAGGCCCTGAGCAGAAAAGTTTGGAGTGATTGTCTCGCAATTTTCTCAGATTTTCTGGTAATTGCGCTGTCGAGGGTTTAGATATTAACACCCTCTGGTTCTTTTAAAGATTACTATCAGGTGGATCACTTCTGCTTTCACCAAGAATATTGAACCAAATTATGGATATTTGTAACAAAAGATGTCTCTTTTTAAGTATTTACACTGATAATTGGCATTCAGGCAGTACAGAGCAACATAAGCATATGGAAGTTGGCCGTACTGCCGGTCGGAACAAATGTCGGGAGTGTAGACACTGGATGTCAAGCATGGGGTCTTGTATATCAACACGGCACAGGTGGTAAATAGGTGTCTTCTCCTCAACAACTTCACAGCAGAACAAGTATCCTCCTAACCGTCAGTACTCTGGTTTTAGCACATAAATTATCCAAGAGGAAACTCAGCGTCTACCTTGTTCTTTCTAGCTTATATTGTGTGATACTGTACGTACTGACTCTAAATTAATGTTGTAAACTATACAGTAGATGTTTTCAACCTTATATGTGTACTCTTTCTTTGATGTAACCCCATAGGAAAAAAGTCTAATGGGGCAATGTCTGGGAATAAGGAGGCCTCTACCATCACCATTTCAACTACAACCAGTGCCGCCAGGTGATGAGGGCTGCCAAGCACACAATTCATATTATAAAAGAAATCTGACGAGACAATTTTTATTTTTATTTTTTTCTGTAATACAGTGATATTCCCATTAGCCGAAACAATTGGTGCAGAGCACTTCCGGGAATGAGAGATTTCCGGGTAACAAGACGACTCTCAAAGCCTGAAAAAATCTCTCGTGCCCGGAATTTTCCGGGTAACGGAAAATTTTTCTCGGAATTTCCAGAAAATGCGCCTGATTTTCATCTCTCAAACCCAGAAAAAGTTCCCCCATCCCCAGAATTTTCCGGATATCGGGAAATTTTTTTATGAATTATCCGGAAAATGTGCCCCTCGGAAAATCGTTCCCAAAGCCGGAATTATCCAGAAAATTCCGGTTTTGGGAACAATTTCTGAGAAAATTTCAATAATGGCTATTGGAGAGTTCCCGGTTTGAGAGATTTCGGTTTAGGGAGATATTACTGTATACTGAACTAATAAAAAGGTAACTTTTTATTAGAAAATTAGTAAAAGAGGAAACTTTCCTTTTCAGTATCCAAAGAGTGTTGGCAATGGCAGATTCATCATAAGGGATGTGCGGGATTTGACAACAGGGTATGACTCTTCACAGCCCAACAAACAAGCAGTCTTGCCAGTTTCCAAGTCTAGTCAGATGATAACTTTTTCCTTTGCCAATGGCTGTGTGCTTACCTTGCGTACTAGTGGAACAGAACCGAAGATCAAGTATTACTCAGAAATGTGTGCCACACCAGAACAAGAGTGAGTATAGTAGTAGTTTAAAATAAAATGTGTGGTAAGATTTTTTGTGTATAGTTCAAAGTGTATTACAGTCATGCGCCGGTTAATGTCCTAGATACATTCTTGGAAACGTAACGTTAACCGAAATGGACGTTGTCCGATCATCACATAAACTTTGTCTTTATACTTACGTGTATGTGGAATACTATATATATATATATATATATATATATATATATATATATATATATATATATATATATATATATATATATATATATATATATATATATATATATATATATATATATATATATATATATATATATATATATATATATATATATATATATATATATATATATATATATATATATATATATATATATATATATATATATATATATATATATATATATAGTAAAATCTTGATAAATCGAACTTTGATATATCGGAATTTGCCTTTTTCAGACTTTGAGATGCTCTGGTCCCCAGAAATAAAATAAAAAAGTTTTAAGAAATGGGGAAGATTAAATAAAAGAAATTTATGAAATGAACAACACTTACTGAATATTGTACAGTGGTTAATTGGATTTGCTATAAGCCTACTGAAAACTAAGTCACTTGAGTATGTAAGCAGGCTGGGGCTTAATACTTTACACTACAGTATTACTTAAGTGATGATAAATACACTACAATAGTATTTATTAAGTGGTGATGAATACACTGCAATACTATTTATTAAATGATGATTAATACACAACTGTACTGTACTAATTTACTAAGTGTTGAACACAGATGTTGTAGTAAGTCAATCAGCTGTTTGCTCTTTGTAAACAAATGAGTATGAAATGGCTCATGGTGTTCAGTGTGGGATTCTTTTTTCAGGAGAGTTGATTCTTTAAGGATAATATTTTATCAGCCTGGCACCAAATGATCCAAATTATATGAGAATTGTGGTGAAAGTTGCATAAAGAAGTGTTAAAGGAATCTTGGGGGAGAGATCACCCACCTGTAATACTCCCCCTCCCTTCTGCTCCCAGATAAACATTCATCTTCCACACACAATATACTCCTACACTTACTTGTATCTTTATAGTACTGTACAGTATACAGTTTTCTCTTTATTCATAAGACAAATTCTGTGGTTACTTGCATATAACACTTTACAGTAAATAACAATCATCTCAGTGACAACAGTTGTTGACAACCGGACTTATATGTCTGATTTTCAAGCCAGAGTTGTGTTTCATATTTTCATTTAGTTGATGTAATATTCTTTTAATAACCCCATTCTGCTCTTTCTCACATCCATTGTGTCCAGGTGTTGGAGAAGTTTTTTTGAGTGTACAACAGATCCAAGGTTGTGGCACCCTCCACTATATTTACAATGACAAATGTGGCCCAGAGCCTACAAAAGGTTGTGGACCACTGGTGTAGGCCATTACTTTACATCTGTGATAATATTCCTTGCATTTTTTATTTTTGCATGTTCAGTGTCTACATGGGTAAAGTTGGACTTATGAACAAGCCTTGGGAATATAACTTTTTCGTAAGTAAAGGAGCACCTGCATAGAAATAATAGAGAGAGAGTATACATGAAGTAATGGTAAATTGTAAGGATATGACTAATTCTATCTTGTAATATTTTCACAGAGACTGGGCAGCCCTTAAAGCAGAATTAGCAGAGCTGGTGGAGGCTGTAGTGCAGGAGCTGATGGAGCCCGACAAGAATGGTCTCATTCCACGAGCAGACTAACTCCTGTGCTACAATCTTTTTCCGTCTTTTTCTAATATTCAGTTTATTTTAGACATTTAATTTGTTGTGTTCATATATGAAATATTTTCTTTTTGGTTGTTCTTAACTTGTGACTGTTTACTTACTACTGTACATCAGTTGAGAACTGTGCTACTTTACACAAACAATTTTGTGATACTTTATGCCTCTCAGGAATTGGCTTGTAGAATGGTTGCAGTTAGATGCTATTGATAAGTTTTAGAAAATTTAAATTGTCTTTCCCTAAGTAATATGTCTTTTTATTCTTGGTCATTTTTGCATGTGAAAAGAATCAGTCACTTCCGTGCATTTCTTCATTGAGATCGATTGAAATATTGTATTACCATTTAAAAAGAGGATTCAACAATTTACCTTCCAGTTAAAGAAAGATTATCATGACTTTAAAGATGAATCTATGAAGAATGCAGATGGGTCAGATAAATAAGCAAAATAAAAATCTTGCATTATAATCCTTAAATATTTTTGTTATATATACTGTTTATTATATATACACGGACTCTTTTTATCAAGTCAACATGTCATCCTCTTCAACTGCCCATGTTTCACTGCCATACAAGAACATGCTTATCCTTCTGGCTACTTGCAACTTTCCATTCAAATAAAGAGAAGTTCCTTTCGTTATCAATAAAGGCAACGGCTCTCTAAACTTCTTCCAGTCACTTCTGATTCCAACAACCTATCAAGGTTCCATTAGACCAAAGATAGTCTCAGACTGCAACCTCTTCATTCAAATAACAATAGTTTCATGGTGACTGAGGATAGAGAGGAGGAATTCTTGAAAGAGGTTTCATTAGTAAATAAGAAAACAAAGTGATATTTCTGATAGGAGGCCAGTGGCCTATGTAGGATCCTCTTATTTTTCTTGACAAATTGTCTTAGGCTGTGGATAATTGTGTGCATTTTGATAATTACAGTTTACTATGTTTTGGAAAGCTAAAATAGGTATGTGACTTGATTTATTGGTCATTTAGATGAGAATTTTACATTTCAGTTGATGCCAGTTTTAATTTAATTTGGTTCTTTGTATTGCTCAGCTCATTATCGTTGGCTTGATTTAGTCTGATATATTTCATCCTGGTATGGTTGTAGGGGATTCCCCACTCTGTTTCATTTGGGAGATTGTGAATTATACTTTGTCATAAACTGAACTGGCAGTTTTCCCATGTTTCTGAGGAGGATGTTTCCAAGAGAGGATTTTTTTTATGGAGAATAGCCTACCAGGGCACAGGTGATCGACCCACAACAGGGCCGGGGGATAAGCGTAAAAGTAGAAGAGAAAAAGACTATATTAATCTACACCATGATGATGCTCTTTTGGGTATACATAGTACAGTGATGTCTTTCCCTATTAAGTTGAACCAATTTGCATGATACAGTAATTGCTTTCAGAGCAAACACTGTACCTGTATCCTCTCATTAAAGCTAATAGTGAAGAGGGGAGGTAAGGGTGATGAGTACAGTAGAACCTCTATATGCTGGAATTCGCTTTTTGGGGACTTTTGTGAGGTGCTCTGGACTGTGTGTTCATATGTGCGTTTGGACATTGTGTGTGGGTGTCCCACGGCACATGTCTATCTGAGTCCTGCTTACACTCATATAATTATGTGAACTTTTTATGTAGAGTACATATGGTCTTACAGGGATATTTGAGGGTTTTAAGAAATTAGTAAAATTGTGTAGAGTACAGTACTGTACATATTTTAAGAATTAAGTAAAATTGTGTAGAATACCAGTTATAAGAAATAGAAAAGTTAGAAAAAATGCTTATGAAAAGAACATCGCTTGCTCACTGAATACCCAGTACTGTACAGTCTGGGAATAGTGGTGAAAGTGCTTATAAGATGTGATATGGGGCCCTGAAGGAGGGAGCCACCCATCCTACTTCCTCCTACCTACTGCTTCCCGACAATTCTCATCCCAGTTTTTTCTTTACTCATAAGGCACACAAGCACAGTAAAATGACTTCATCAAATTCTGTGGTTACCAGTACTGTACTTACATATAACACTTTACTGTATGGAACAATCTTATTGAGAACAGTTGTTGACAACCAAACTTATGTCTGATTTTCTTGAAGCAGGGTTACCCAGTACAGTATGTCCAAACATCCACCCTTCACCCCTGGATTCACTTTTTTCAGACTTTCACTCTCTTTGGATTGGGGTCTGCCCCAATTAGTCTAGTGTATCAAAGTACTACAATACTGTATATGTAAAAGAATTATCTGATTAATCCAAACCCAAGCCAACATTATAGGGGGCTGATCCCAAGTACATATTGCCCCAAGTTAGTTACCCTGTGGTGAGAATATTCAGGGTGATGAAAGATATTAAAAGTTTAATAAAATAGTCAATATTTTGATATGTTACAAGTTTGGGCCTCTTGGAACCTGTTTTTACCCCCAAAGACTTACTGACTATAATGAAATATCCTACTCTGGCTTGGTTAGTAAAGAGGATTTCAAGATCGATGCTTTGTTTTTATAGCATCTCGTATTAAAAGTGTACGATATATCCAGACCATGCATTTTAGATAGTATTTAAAGTGTGTATAGTAACTAAAGTCCAAGGAAGAAATATATCTTCTTGTACAGTCAGTTCTGCTATAACGCGATAGTTGTGTTCTTGTAAAACATCGTGTTATAGAAATTCACGTAATAGAAATAACAGGGCTTATGGAGAAAATAGGGTTAGGTGCAGATTACTACTCAAAATTGAAAAAATTTTAGTAGTTAGCCAAACACAAAGGTTAGCACAGTCTAAATAAATGTTACATTCATATCTAATAATGAAATCATACAGTAAATGTAACACTTTACCTTGAAAAAATATGAATATAACTTGATGGGGGAGAAGGGTGATTTTGAGGTTGATAACATCGAGCTTATCTTCAAGTGTTATAGCCTTTCTTTTACGGTCATCAACGGGAATGCGATCAACAGAACGCTTCTTGGAGATATTCTTCTTTACCATATTCACAGTTAATACCACAAAATTGGAGAAATAGTAAGCAAAAATCGCGTTACAGCAAACAAGCGTTCGCGTTATACAAATATCGTTCCTCTATTCATAAATCGCGTTAGAGCCAATTCGCGTTGTCAAAACACGCGTTATAGCAGAACTCACTATGTTGATAATAATTCGGCAGAAAGTGCATTCCTTCCTAGTTACAAAATATTATGTAAGAAAATACACTATAATAAATGTATTCACAGCTTTAGTACCTTTGCAAGTTTTTTTGAAGAGCTAGGCAAAACAGATTGTCAGTTGCTAAAGAAACTCATTTTAACCAAGATGAAAGTGAATGTGTATTGTATTCTGTCATTTGAGATATTCTTCTTGAGAAATCCAATTGCCATTAAGTGATGAAAATTGAAGCATGATATGAGGCGCTCAGAGCCAGAGTTATGAATCAACCAAACTTGTCTTCTGCTTTAGTTATTGACATTTGTAATCTTTATATTCTTCCCAACTCAGTAACCAACCATAGGATTATCATGTTTTTTATTTCTTATAATAGTAAATCTAGTTTTGTTTTACAGGTATTCCACTGTGTATGGATTTTTTTTTTTTACACTTATGCCCCGAGTGACGTACTAAGATGCCCGACTAGCATGCCCCGGGTGACATACTAAGACGACCGACTAACGTGCCCCGGGTGACATACTAAGACGCCCGACTAGCGTGCCCCGGGTGACGTACTACGACTCCCGACTAGCATGCCCCGGGTGACGTACTAAGACACCCGACTAACGTGCCCCGGGTGACGTACTAAGACGTTCGCCATTTCCCGCCAGTGTTTAACTGCCTAGTGCAGGTTATCAGGTTCCAGTGTGACTATTAGCCTGTCATGCCACACGCTCGGCCACAGGGAAGCTTCCTGAACGTAATTACCTACTTTTGTTTGTTTCATTTTCATTGTTTGTCCATTTTATCATGTATCAAAGTAATATTGCTAAAAGTAGTGTAGTTGTATTGTAGTGCAGTATTACTGGAAAATAATGCGATGATTGTGTTATAAATGTATTTATTTGTGGAATTATTATTATTTTATGCATTACTTGCTCTACCAAACACTAAGACAGCCAGACAGCTTGGCGACCGAGGACTTTTTATGAAAAATAATGCAAATGAAATATTCTAAATGAATTATTTATAGCAAATAAGTATAGTGATCAGTAAATATATGCATTATTGGCCATCTTGGACACAAAGGCAAGCTAAAAATAGCTGGTAAGTGCAGAGGTGACCACGAGCTCAGCTGTCAAAACAACACTGTCCCCTTATATCCCTTCTCCCTCCCTCCCTCAGCACTGCCAGTTAGCTTAGAGGGTCAATATAATGTATAGTTTTTCTTACTTATTTTTTAATGTTTTATCATTTAAAAAGGTTAAGAATTATTTTTTGAAAAGTTTTGATTTTCTCGATTTACCCCCGCATGGGGGGTACTGCCAGCGTGCCGGCACTCTAACCCAGGGCTTAAGGGTTAAATCAGTAAGGTCTAGTTATAAAAAGGTAAAAAATAAATCTGCACCACATTCGATAACCTGTAATAAGATATTAGTTATCATTAATATTAATACTGAATGGATATTTTATTTATTATTTTTTTTCCTACAGGGATTGGCCCACCTGGGCAAAGGTCACTGACCCATATCGGGGGGGATGTTATAATAATAATAACAATAAAGAACCATAAAGAAATACACAAATGAAAAAAGATCACTAGTGAGCAACAATATATGTATGTTGTGTTCTCAAAGTAAGAGAAACAGTTGAGACCCTGCAATTGTGTGTAAATGAGGCAGAAAGTCAGATCAGCAACCTGGGACTTGGTCACAATTTTCGTGATGCCATATGGCAGCAGGGTCTACCATTAGACAATACATTATGCTTCCACAATCTTCCCAGGCGGTAGTACCTCCCTGTTTGGTAGCTGCCTACTACCTTCTACCTTGAAAGTTTATTATGTAAATACTCACTAACCCATAGGACGTGTTGATGCCCATGTGGCTGGTTTTTTTTTTGGGGGGGTGGGGGGAATACTAGTCGGGTGGATCCAGGAATATCAAAAGGGGGGTGTCCAAAATGTTGTGGGTTGAGGAACATTGTGAGCACAGTGAACCCACCCAGCTGGGGAGCTTTGGAGGGCCAGTGTAACCCCCCCCCCCGCTCCCCGATTATTTATTTTTTTTAACCAATATCATGTGCATTTTGAAGTCATGTGCACTTGATATTAATTAGGAGATATTCTGAAGTCAATAGTAATTACTTTTTACTAAACAAAAATGCCCAATTACTATATTGCATTAAAGAAAAGTATTGGAATTTTCTGATGAAAAGGGGGGTGGGGGAGGTTCTGGACCCCCAGGATACCCCTCCCCCGTGGAGCTGCCTGTGCTAGTCCACCACATGACTCGTATTCCAGTACTCATAGACATGAGGTAGAGAGCAGGGACTCAACATACACCATGTACGCCACATGTTGATTGGCTTAGCAAGTGACATCATACTGTTCCGCACATCTGGTTTGTTACACCTACCTGTAGATTCATCACTCTGGCTCCGAACATCTCATATGCTTAACTAGCAATGAATTTATCTTAAAATTGATCTCGTAGATATGTAACTACCCAACTGTATAAGAAACTATCTGTACTGTTGTTTCTTATATATATATATATATATATATATATATATATATATATATATATATATATATATATATATATATATATATATATATATATATATATATATATATATATATATATATATATATATATAAACAATAAAATGGCATACATAATATACTGTATAGTATTTAAAATCGTTGAATTAGAATGTGCTTTATGTATACATTTGCTGCTACAGTATGAAAAGGAGTGTCAAGAATATATATACTGTAGTGTGATAACTTTTAAATTGTATTTAGATAAATATGGTTGTCACTACCATTCATTATTTTTATTGGGTATTTACTATTGTGTAGGTGGTCATTATATGTTCTGAACTATATAAGTACTGTAGTTGATTATATAGAGTTTACCACCACACACTGAAGCAGTGTTCTGAACTTGAGAGTACAGTACCGTAATCTTGTACAGATAGACCACGTACCTCAGATGAAGATCAGTCTGGACAGTTTATTTTTATATTTAAAGGTTTCATTCAAATAAAGAAAATTAGCCTCAAAGATTAACATTTTATGTTAATGCCATCATTTACATTATGACATTATGAGCTTTTGTGTGGAGAGTAAACTTGTAGATTGTCGCCATCTTTGAGACGAAGAATCTTGTACAAGGTGATCTTCATATATAATATATTGAATGTTTATAGGCTTCAGTACATGCACCTGCTTGACAGTTATTTGATTTATTTGTTTGACTTGGAATGTTTAGATTATAAGGAATATGTGAGTTTATAAAAGTACAAGCAAGGGCAAGAAGCCTCTTGAGGTAATGCACTATATCACTCTATCTTCCCCTCTTGTTTATGCAATATGTCATTGAACGCTTAATGAAAAACATTACAGTGAAATATGGAAAAAGTGGTTAGTGAGGAGATGGTGAAAAATTGTGAGCAAACTTAAGGATGGAGATATACCAGGCATAGATGGAATGACTATGAAAATGTTAAGATAGGTGAAGATGTGATAGAGTGGATGACAATTATATAATGGTTCTGTATAACAGTAAAGAATACAAAAAGAATAATAAACAATACGTATAGTTTTCATGTATAACACGAAAAAAAGTGATAATAATGAAAACAAAATTGATTGAGGAATAAGTCTGTTATTTATACCAGAGAATTTGTACAGTACAGTATCCATAATTGATTTTTATTTTAATAAAAAATAGTGTATTTAGGGAAGTGCTGGGTTCAGAAAAGATTGTTACATGTATTATGTGAAGGAATATGCTGGTAATGAAAACAAGCACACAGTAGTACAGAGGAGTTGCAATAATTCATGAAATACAAATATGTGTTCTTAAATTCGCAGGTACAGTCGTGGTTAAAAGTAATCATCCAATCCTCATACCACCATACCCACGAGCTCAAGAATTTTTTACATGACGGGTCACAAGAGGGTGGGGGAGGTATTAATGGAGGGAGAGCTAAGTGTGGCAGACCCAGGCTAGGTAGGAGGGTGAAAGTTGAGGGCCACATACATAGTGAGAGTGTATGTGGTCTTAGAATTATTCTTAACACCTGAAGAAGGTGTTAAGGTTGGTGGATGTAGCTTGACATTGACGGCCTTAATGACCCTGGCCTAAAGCCCAGGAAGGTTTCATGATGGACTAACTTTCCCTTAGTTATCTATGCCTTTATTTGATATTCTGGAGAGGAAACCCGTAGTTTGCGAGTAATTAGCATTACAAAATGTCATTAATTTTCCAGGCTTCAATACAATCACTGATTACCCCACAATCGAAACGTGGAACTTATATTCGAAATCAAGGGCCCCGGGGGCACTGCTGCTCCTGGAAGGGCACTTGGGGGCACCGCCACCCCTGGCAGGTTTACCTAAGGGCACCAGTGCCCCTGGAAGGGCCCCTGTGTTCGCCACCGCCCTTGGGAGAACCCCCTAGAGGTGCCGCCACCCCTGTGAGAGCCCTTAGGGGCGCCACCGCATCTGGGAGGGCCACTGTGGGCGCCGTCACCTTTGGGAGGGCCCCTGGGGGAGCAACCGCCCCTGACTATGGATGAGTGTAAGCAGTACAAACAAGTGTCAATGAGGATCACTCGGCTTCCTGGTGTGCGACCAGCCAACACAAAGATGGCCGACGAGGGGGAGAATTGGCTTCACCTGACAGTACTGGGAGCGCGCGGCAATGCCGCCTCCACCCTTTATACCTCCATGGTGTGGCAAAGCAGAGCAGACCCAAGGGAGAAGGATTGGTGACACCTCAACCAGGCGACGATGTAACTTCTGGGTTGTTGCTTCTGTTTAGAGGAGCTGGCTTGATCTACGTTCTGAATTCCCTCTTGTCGTTCTCGTTCCTCTTGTGTGCAGCCTCGAGAGATAGGTTGCGGTGATATGCGGCCATGGGGTTGAATATCTTGATATAAAAAAAGGCTCGCTGTCCCTGTGTCCAGAATCCTCGAGCACTGAGTACTACTACCACCACCACTGTTTCCTATTACCAATGGGGCCTAATAGGACCAGGGGGCCCATTTGACCAACCACAGAAACTTGCAATGTTGAAACTCGGTCAAAAAGATGTGTCCCAGTTTCTTTTACCTCCCAAAGCAAATAGTTCTTGCTCTTGTTAATGTGTCCATACTCACCAAGGTTGATATTTTCACCTCAAGATAAAAGAAGATATTACATTATCTTAAGTGTACCTGATTATAGCTTGTACAATTTACCTGAATGAGGTTAGAGTTAATTAATCATAATAATAAACGGTTTATTAATAGAGTTGCAGCCGGTGGCTGAAAATATACAGACTTACATTTGATTTAGACATAATGATATAATATGCGTTGAATACATTTACAGGGCTGTACATACATGCATAAAGTTTCATAAATGGACTGGGCAGAATGCGTACACGTACAAACATTCGCGTTACTCCATAAGCCTGATGATTTTCGGTGATGCGTTTCACAATACAATGGGAGACTTGGATATTATACAAAACCTAAATAAGACCATAGTATTTTCTTTCTTAGATGCAGCTGTAGGAAATTATATATGGTAGATAACCAATACTGTCCCTCAGTACAATTTGAAGTTACTTTTTTTATTATTATTCCAAGTTTATAGTCATGGCTTGTAATTGTTTTTTGCT